AGAGCACGAGTGTGAGATGGTAGGAGAGCTGAGCGCGCGCATAAGGTGCTCATTGCGCATTCGTTTGGTTCCCAGGAGCCTTTGACGAATTGTTTATGAAAATTGATCCTTTTTTCGGTGTGGCCCCTCTGCCGATTCTAGTGTGATTTTTTTTGCGCATTTGCCTTTCAATGCAGTATTTTGACCCGAAAAAATGAGAATATCGCGTCTATTTTCGGCATTACCTCGAATATTCCATTTTCTTCTGCGTAAGGAAATATTCGAGTCATCAATGCATTATTTGAAGTCAGTAAAGTAGAAACTCTAATCCCCAAAATTCAAAGCCCCAGCTTTTTAAGATTCTATTTATAACACGTAAACAGAGCTCTATTCATAGCACATCCTATTTATCAACCTTGATTCAAATAATAATGTGCTTTATTGAAGCATTTATTCATTTTGTTCAATTGATGGATGTATTTCAAATCCTTCCATATTTGAACTAATTGGAATCACATCATACTATCTAAAGAGAGATAATACCAGTTGTTATGGCTTAGTTAACCAGCCAGCTGATTCTAGCAGAACCTAGGAAAACAGTATTCAATCCAACATATGGTTGCCTTTTGTCCACCACTTCGCCGCTATTATTATTATCCCAAAATCTTATTATGCCCGACGAACAGCAAACCAAAGCCAACTGAGAAAAAAAGTGTCCTAATAGCAAGTCGAATCGGCAACGCATAAACGTTTTATATTTTATGTGCGCGAAATAGTTTAGCATCCTCGGAAATTTCGGCCGGACGCCCTCTTGTTGCTGCGCATCTTCGTCTCCATAACTCTCTAAGCGTCGTGTGTGTGTGTGTGTTGCCCGTGTGCGCGGGCGCGCCTCCCCCTGATCATTTTTGCGTGTCAATTGAGATGTACCGAAGAACGGGAAAAAAGAGACGACGACTAGGCCGTAGAAGAATAAGAATGAGAAAAAGATGGCGATTACTATTGGTCGCACCTCCTCCCTCTCAACACCCTTCTGCTACTAATCGCTCGGCCCCGTCGTATTCCGCTTGTCAACGCATTTTGCCTCAAATGGTTCGCACTTCCTTCAAGAATAGTTGAGGAGCACTTCCTTATCTTATCAGTGGCCGCTCGCGTAACTTTACCAGTACGGGATCATCAATCAAGTATTGCCATTTCGCTGGCTTCTCAATACAATTCAAATGCATTGTTAAATGCCATCTGCCGCTGTACACCGACTAAACCATTGCCCATTGTAAATTTGTAATTGTCTCTGAGACGGATTCGAAACGATTCTAGTGATTGTTTCCAAAATCGGTGATCCGTGAAATGCGCGCAAATAACCTAATCTCATTTTGGTGTACCCATAGCAACCGCTCGATTGGAATTTGAGAAAACGCGAACAACTGATCCGTATTAATTGAGAATCATCCCTAATCCGCATACCGATCGGAATCTGATGATCAAGATTAACATATTTCCGCACATGAGCGGGGGCCAAATTGCAATGATACCAAGAGATCTTCCAAAAATCTTTTGATGGGCTCTCATAAAATTCCAGAAATGGTTTAATCTTTTTCCGTGAGCTCAGATTCTTTGAGACTCGCTAATGATTATTCCCTTCACAGTCGCCCCCCCCCCCTTCTCTCTTAGGTCACGGTACTGATTGAATCTCAAATAAGTGTCACTAGTGTGCTAATCCTTGGTATTCTCCTCCGCCGCGACCCCGTCGCCCCGCCCCCCATCAATAACAACAACAACAGCAAAAAAAGGTAAATGCGAACTGTATTATTGCAACACATTACACAGCCGGCATTCTCACCCACACAGCGTTCTACTAGATTGAATTCTTGTCGCCTTATTCGTCCTGGGGTTCGATTTCGTTTTTTTTTCTACATTAGTGTGTGCGTGTGTTCATTTCCATCGTTTCCAAATGCTTGCCCTACTGTGGGCAGTTCTATTGGTGTTGCCGCTACTGCAACAACCAGTTCAGTTCAGTCACCTTCGCTCATTTTTTTTCCGCCGCCACCGCCTTCTGCCTGCTGCAAAAATGTTTACATAAGAATCGGAGGAGGTGGAGGTGGCCGCGTGCTACTAACAACTATATGGTTCAAATAATAATACATATAATAATCAATTTTGCGTCTTTGCAATTCCCTGATTTTTCCAATAATAAAAATTGTCCAAGTTGTCCCCCCCCCCTCTCCGACGACGACCGCTGCTGCCAATAGGCCCATTCATCGTGTAGGTTCTATTGTCTTCGCGCGTCTCTTGGCAACGTTCATAGTTCCTCTCTCGACTAATTGCCGCCGTTTGAAACTAGCTTCTCCTTCGTAAGAACGTTTTGATTTTGATAACGCGCCGCTTCATCTTCTTGTTCGTTTTGGAAAGTGTCAAAACCCAGCCCACATTTGGTTTCTTTTTTTTTTGCGTGCTGGACGTTCGGTCGGCCATCTGTCACCATTACTACGCGTTTCAACCATTCTCTTCCAAATGTTCTTGTTGAATGGCTTATTAATTGCGCCGATTCGATCGGATCGCGACGCTTTTTGGAGTGCGTTTCGCGCACTATCTCAAAAAATCCCAATGTGACAGGTGTTGCGATGGCAGGTCAGCCCCATTCGAGAACTAAACGTTTTTTTGTTTATACGCTTCCCAAATTGTTTATTTTATGTTTTTAGTTCCCATTGATCTATCGAACGTTTTATCAACTATATTGTTTGAATGCAAATTGAATTTTTATACCAAATAATTGAGTTTTAGGTTTCAAGTGTAGACTTATTTTTTCCACCTGCGAAATTTTAGTTTTTTTTTTTCTTCTTATTCTTATCAACTCACAGTTTTCACCTTTTCTTAAGTGCAGAAAAATTATTTATTCAATATTTTTAATTATGGAGCAGAATTTTTTGAAAAATCTCAAACGAAAATCTGGTAAAAAAAAATTTCCACAATTTTTCAACGTGTTTAAAATTTTTCCAAAATCTCTGTAGCGCCGTTACAAACTGGATTCGGAAATCCTGGAATGGAATGGCAAACGTGACATCTCTACTAAATCCAAAGTAAAAGCCGAAAACCGGTTTTTTTCTTGCCGCAGCTTCTTCACTAACTGTCGGCTAGATTAATTTCCAAATTCGGAATGACCATGATTCATTGATATTTGCTAGCCACTCAAGAATTGAATAAGTTCGAATAAGCTCTCGTAATCTACTATTCTAATGTGAAAAATCTTATCTCAAAAAATCTAGCGAGTTGGACACAGTTCGAATTGCCAAACTGCGCCCTCTCGTTTACAGTAACCCAGTGTCTTATCTCACATACTCGGAAACTGATAGGCCAATGATCCTGAGCATATTCCACATTCAAATAACAAATGTTCTTCATCGATTTCACATTCAACGCTTAACATTCCACTGATTGCCCATTAATAGAAGAGTAAGTAAGCCTGACGAGGCATGAGATGTCTTATGTTATGGTGATGATGCGAGGCCAGCCGGGGTATTCTTTGCGTCCGCACTCACTCGTTCGCCAATCTATTATTGTTCATGTCACTTGTCGCAATGCGTAATAAACGTCTCGACCCGTCCCAATCGCGCGTGTATATGCGGTGTGGTGGCGGCGGCGGTGGTGGTGTTCAAGTTTCGCACTCGCACACAGAAGTTTGCTTTTTGCATCTATTTATTCTCGACACTAAATGTTTTAAAATGCCAAAACATTTGGTCGATATCAATTCATACAAGAATTTGAGGCTTGTGTTTAGTGAGGGTGTGTGTGTGTGTGTGTGTGTGTGTGAAGGTCGGCTGGGCCACAAGATTCGCGCAGCCCGCAGCAGCAGCAGCAGCCACCTGCTTGCAATTTTCCTCTTGCTGACCGTCTCCTCGTTTTGGTTAAAACCGAAAAAAAGGGCAGCATTTGTTGTTCGGGTATTGTTCAATTATGGTAAGCGCTCTGATGGTTGGTTGGGTGTTCGCATATAGTTATTTTTCGTCGTCCGCGTTTTTTTTTTCCACCTGCAATTCGGTGTTTGTATGTTTGCCCATCTTATCGATGACAAACAGTAGAGCGAGAGAGAGAGGAAACACCCCTCCCCATTTTTGCTTTTCAATTGGTTCTCCTATTAGTTTCGAGTAAAAAAAACGAAAAGAGCATTAATTATATGTCTATTAGACGTATATTTTTGCATGGTTAGTTGCAGCTCACAACGTTTTTCCTTTTCCGATTATGCGCATATGTGAAAAATTTGAATAATCACGGGTTCAAATTTCAAGGCACTGCCGTTTTTTTTTCCTCTCGCAAGCCATAAATCTAATATGCTTGTTTATCAAATTTTGATTGCCGACTATAGTATTTCTAGTATAGCACTTGTTATTCGAAAAAAAATTGCCAACCCCAATTTCCTATATAGTTACCGTAACTAGGTTCGACTGAATCTTGTTACCCGAGTAACCGCGCTCCTCCTAAACCGCTGCTAATTACATATAACGCTCATTGGATATGCATTGGCCAATTCGCAATAGTTCATACATCCGGAGAGTGGAGTGGGGACAACTTCAAAAATAACACCTTACATCAAACCGCCCTCACCGGCCGGCGTCACCGTCAATCACTCCATTTATCATTCTCATACCGGGGGCGCCCGCATCGAATAGTACGTAGTAACAAATGATAATAAACTGCATATTTTATGAAAGCTTTTCCTCGATGTGTTTTTTTTTTATATTCCGCCGCTTTTCGCCCATTCTTTCATCTCCTCCGTTTTCATTTTCCTTTTCGCAACCCGACTAGGCAAGATGAAGACTTTCACCTTTTCTGCAATGACACTCCTCCTCCTCCTCCTTCACCACGTTCAAGCCGTCTTCCAAAAACATCTCATTTCTACTTTAAATCGTTTAACAATATTATTCACCGTTTTTCCCCCCTGAAAGAACCCCATTGTTGCGCCTCTTGTTATCAGTTGTTTTTATTTGACACAAACTTCTTATCAATCAATTTTTGCGAGTTTGCAGATCATGAAATCGACACCATCTGGCTGGCTACCGAGCCAAACCGGCGGCATCCGCCTTCGACCCATCATCTTGCCATCGCCTCCCGTCAAACATGGAGCGAATTCGCTGAAAATGGTGAGAAGCGGATTACATCTGCCCAAAATTGAATCCCCTATTAATCCGCGCGCGCGGTGCGATCTCCATCTCCCTCTCTCGTTCTTTTCGCAAGCTATCCATGCTCATTCATTTCATTCCATTCATTCGACCTTCCTTCTAATCAACACCACAACTGTGTGTGTGTGTTTTTTCTGGTTCCCTACTTCCCAAAAATAGTGAAGAAAGAAGAACGAGGTCAACATTGCTAGACACATCACCACCGAGCACACTAGTAGAAACCAGATGGGTTCGGCCGTTGAGGTGACTAAACAACACATCGACCGACCGCGCATAGGGCCAAGTAGTCATATAATTATACATATGGCAAAACGGAGAAATCGCTTACTGCTGCGCACCTCTCTCCCAAAACCGCTGCTAGAGTCGTACGTGTGTGTGTTTTTTTTATTCTCGGCGGTGTTCAAAAACGAATTCGACCTCAAATTGCGCGACAAGACAGTTTTGAACTTGAAACGATTCGTAGCTACCTGTATGTACATACATATATTGGAAGAGAAAATGAAAAACACAAAATACGCTTTTTTTTATTATTTGTCTAAATTCGACCATCAATCCTAATCTAATACATTTTGCTGGATTAGTTCGTCATTGGAAATAATTGAAAAATATTTTGAGGATTCGTACTAATGATCTTATCTGGAGAAATATCTAGAAAACAATTTAAGCTATGTGTGTTGCTGAATACGATCCTAAAATCTGACCTCAGCGAATGAATGGATTGCGCGAATTATCTCATTAGTCTGCGGAAAAGAGATGAATTCAACCCAACAAAAAAATACTTGCTAGAAGCGCCCAATTCATCTGTTTTTTTTCAGCGGACTCGCAAAAGGCCCTCTCCGAAGCAGACGGTCCAAACGCCTTTGCCATCGATCAACACCTTGTTCGAATCGACGTCCAGCTCATCGTCCAACTCTTCCTATGGCTCATACTGTCAGTTTTCGCCGGAAGGAACCTACACCACCTACACTGTGCCATGCACCAACGACACGTTTTGGCAATCATTCGAGAACGCGCAACTGCACGCGCCGCAGGTCGCACCAGCGCCGCCGATCTCGGCGAATGAGCACAAGCCCGTCAATCAGCCGTTGTTCATTCAAACCGGCGACGCGACATCGAGCTTCAATCCGGGATACCCACCGAGCTCGGTCATCAATATTAACGAGCTTCTCCTCAAGCCGGTACCACACCATGGACAGCCATAATTCTCTCTCTCTCTCTCTCTCTCTCTGACTCTCTCTCTCTCTCCCTCTTATATATATATAGTTTTCGCTTAATTGGTATAATCTTGTCGCAGTGACCCCGTGTTCATTTCAATTCACATCTTTAAACATTGTTTAGCTTTAGAGCTTAATCATCATCATCAAAGACGACATCATAATCAGGGGGGTTTCCCGCCAACAAACCTATTACTTATTCTAATTGTTGTTGTTGTTGAAGACCCGTCGCTCGGGTTGTCAACTGAAACGCTTTTTTTCTGCAGTTTTCTTGTTTCTTCACGGGTCAACGCTTTATCTTGCGCGCACCTGCACCAAAAAAGAACCGATTCATCATTTCTGTTGTATTTTTTTTCACGCTGGGTACCGACCACCTCATTATATTACATGTCGATTCCTTTCATTCATTCGTATATTTTTTTTGTTCGATTAGCCGCCGTACAACATTCTCAACACACGGATTCTCAATGATTGGTATTTATTGTTTTCATTTCCTTTTTTTTGTTCCTTCAATTTTTCCATGGTTTCCAATGAACGTTATTAACAATGAAGGGTTGTTATGAACACCGAATTCGGAATTGCGAACAAAAAAAAAACCCGTAGAACTAAACTAACCGACAATAGAAGCTTGATGGCGGGTTGACGGCGAAATTCGGGTTATTGTCACACTTCGAACGTTCGACGACTCATCGACATAGATTTGACTGTCTGCAGAGTGTAAATTTGAATGTTTAAAAGGGGGGAAGTAATTTTACCACAGAATAGTCTCTGTAGTTGTAATTAGTTTTAAATTGTATTATCAAACGTCGCCCTCTTTATTAAGAAGAGTCACGTTTTATTTTCCCCATCATAAATATGAAATGTGAACAATCTGTTTCAATTTATAACATTTTGTGACATTAATAGATTCCGAAGAAAAATTCTCCAAAGTGAATAACAGGTTCGCTTCTTTTTTTCGCAAAGTTCCTTGACATGTTTTTTGAAAAAAAAAACCCTAATTTAGATGTTGTGTGTTGTGTGAACTCTTCAATCAAAAATGTTGGAACCTTGCTCTCGCGAGATCATTTAATCGGGGTAATGACGATGTTTTATTGCGCAACTGCACTCTCTATTGCGCTCATTTTTTTGTTGTAAACCTATCCCATGTATCCTATCCGATCTTATTTTTCGTATGAATACAGTGCCAGGTCACCGTGTAACATATGTGCATATAATGTTATAAATAGAAGCTAGTATGTAGTACAGGGTGTCATTTAAGTTCCCGCACAAAAGTTTGACGCCATGAAGAGCTTGGCTGGCGCACTTTTCGTGCACCAATACAATTTATTTTTGTTAAATAAGGTATATTTTACTTACATTCCAAGTTTTACCTCATTCGGATGTGTTTCCGAGAAATGGCGAAGGCTAACATCCATTGCGCTTCCATTATCGAACTTCATAAGCAAAATGTGAGCCCGAGAGACATCATTGAACGCCTCGCTGTGCCTCGTAGAACGGTTTGCGACACCATCAAACGTTTCAAGGAGCTAAATACGACCAGTGACCGTCCCAGACAAGGAAGACTCGTCTCAGTAACCACTCCTCAGAAGATAAACGCCGTCAAATCGAGGATCAGGCGAAACCCCCACAGGAGCATGAGAAAGATGGCGTCAGACGTGGGAATGAGCATCTTCGCTATGGAACAAATCGTCAAAACGAAGCTTGGACTGACCCCATATCGTGTCCAAAAAGCGGCAATTCTATCGGCCGTCAACAAGCAGAGACGCTTCGAAAAAGCAAAACAACTTCTTGCTCGCACGCAGTCTGGAGAACATCTCGTCACTGTCTTCTCCGACGAGAAGCTATTCACTGTGGAGGCGGCATTCAACTCACAAAACCATCGAGTACTTGCCCAGACATCCCAGCAAGCTTCTGAGAAAAGCAGAACAATACATCGAGCCTCACATCCTGCCAGTATGATGGTTTTCGGTGCCATCTGCTCAACCGGGAAGCGCCCCTGGTTTTTGCAGATCAGGGGATGAAAATGAACAAAGAAGTCTACGTTCGGGACTTTTTAGAGGAGCATGTGATGCCCTGGACCCAAACGCATTTCGTTGGGCAGAAATGGGTCTTTCAACAGGACGGAGCACCCGCCCACACTGCCAAAACTACTCAGGAGTGGTGCCAGACCCATTTTCCCGACTTCATCAAGTCATCCGAATGGCCTGATTGGTCCCCAGACCTGAACCCGCTTGACTTCTCCGTGTGGGGTCTTGCAGGAGAAGGTCAACGCAAAACCCCACTCAAGTGTAGAGACTCTGAAGAAGACATTACTGGCGGAATGGCACAATCATTCCATCGAATACCTGCGTACCACAGTCGCATCCTACCCGAAGCGTCTCTGTGAAGTCATAGCTCCGAAAGGAGGCCGAATCGAAAAGAGTTAATAGATAAATATTTGTTATACTATAGATAAAAAATATTTTGAGTCTCGTTTGATTTGGACCTTTAGTTTCAGAAATATACGTCTTCAAAGTTGTGCGGGAACTTAAATGACACCCTGTACATTGCAAATAGTTGATTTCCTCGATCCTTTGTCACTGTCGTAGACAACAATGAAATGGAAAAAAAACTCTCAAAAATGGCATTGAAACCTACTCGATTCACAAAATGTATGTTTTACACAATTTCGCACAGCTGAACATTGCTGGAAATTTTCCCGACTTCACATCGCCGACCTTTCATCATAAATACAGGGTGTCATTTAAGTTCCCGCACAACTTTGAAGACGTATATTTCTGAAACTAAAGGTCCAAATCAAACGAGACTCAAAATATTTTTTATCTATAGTATAACAAATATTTATCTATTAACTCTTTTCGATTCGGCCTCCTTTCGGAGCTATGACTTCACAGAGACGCTTCGGGTAGGATGCGACTGTGGTACGCAGGTATTCGATGGAATGATTGTGCCATTCCGCCAGTAATGTCTTCTTCAGAGTCTCTACACTTGAGTGGGGTTTTGCGTTGACCTTCTCCTGCAAGACCCCACACGGAGAAGTCAAGCGGGTTCAGGTCTGGGGACCAATCAGGCCATTCGGATGACTTGATGAAGTCGGGAAAATGGGTCTGGCACCACTCCTGAGTAGTTTTGGCAGTGTGGGCGGGTGCTCCGTCCTGTTGAAAGACCCATTTCTGCCCAACGAAATGCGTTTGGGTCCAGGGCATCACATGCTCCTCTAAAAAGTCCCGAACGTAGACTTCTTTGTTCATTTTCATCCCCTGATCTGCAAAAACCAGGGGCGCTTCCCGGTTGAGCAGATGGCACCGAAAACCATCATACTGGCAGGATGTGAGGCTCGATGTATTGTTCTGCTTTTCTCAGAAGCTTGCTGGGATGTCTGGGCAAGTACTCGATGGTTTTGTGAGTTGAATGCCGCCTCCACAGTGAATAGCTTCTCGTCGGAGAAGACAGTGACGAGATGTTCTCCAGACTGCGTGCGAGCAAGAAGTTGTTTTGCTTTTTCGAAGCGTCTCTGCTTGTTGACGGCCGATAGAATTGCCGCTTTTTGGACACGATATGGGGTCAGTCCAAGCTTCGTTTTGACGATTTGTTCCATAGCGAAGATGCTCATTCCCACGTCTGACGCCATCTTTCTCATGCTCCTGTGGGGGTTTCGCCTGATCCTCGATTTGACGGCGTTTATCTTCTGAGGAGTGGTTACTGAGACGAGTCTTCCTTGTCTGGGACGGTCACTGGTCGTATTTAGCTCCTTGAAACGTTTGATGGTGTCGCAAACCGTTCTACGAGGCACAGCGAGGCGTTCAATGATGTCTCTCGGGCTCACATTTTGCTTATGAAGTTCGATAATGGAAGCGCAATGGATGTTAGCCTTCGCCATTTCTCGGAAACACATCCGAATGAGGTAAAACTTGGAAAGTAAGTAAAATATACCTTATTTAACAAAAATAAATTGTATTGGTGCACGAAAAGTGCGCCAGCCAAGCTCTTCATGGCGTCAAACTTTTGTGCGGGAACTTAAATGACACCCTGTAATTTTGCGGTCACACTGGCATAATGTGGGGTAGAACTGGGTTGTCAAAAAAACAGGGCCCCCCGGCCCGGCCCTGGGCCCTATAGGGCCGAGGCCGGGCCGGGGGGCCCTACAGGCCCAGTTTGAATTGCCGCCGACGCTAATTACACTAAACAATAGGCAGCGTAAACGCGGAGCGTCGTTTCTAGTAGTTTTTTTCTCTCATTCTATTGATTCTTTGCAACTTTTCTCATTTAATTAGCGATTAAATGTCAATTAAATAAAATAATTTTCATATGGATACTCCGTTGACGCCGAAATCAAGAACTTCTACAAACCATAGGACATTTAATAAAGAAGAAGTGAAGAAACGAATAATGGAATCTAACGTCGTTTTGGTAAAATTATTAATACTAGAATAAACTTTTTAATGAAATAAATTTAGGAAAAAACTAAAAATAATGCGGTATGGAAAGTAATGGTAATAGAAGACGAGAAAAGAATTCCTACAAAATTTTTGTATTGTTCATCATGTTTCGAAGTCATGTCATCAGGAGGTGGCCACGTTAAGTAAGAAACGTGCAATTTCATGAAAAATTTATAATTTTTTCAGAAGGCACACATCGTCTTGTAAAAAAAGAAATGATATTGGAGAACCATGCACATCAGAATACAGAGAAATATGTCCAATCAAAGATATATTAACCGATTTTTTTATTTCGACGGGTCTCCCACTAAATATCATGGAAAAAGAACCATTCAAGGTTCTTTGCGAAAGACTTATAGAAACTGGGTAAAAAACGATAGTAATTTAATGTGTTCATAGTAAAAATTTTCAGTCGAAGAGGTCTAGATTCTGGAGTTCGGTTTTCAGTGCCAAGTCGGTCAACACTTAGAAAGTGCATGGAAGACAAATTGAATTCTTTGAAGGACTCGCTTAAAGATATTGTAAGAATTTCAAATGCAAAAATAGGAATGAGAATATTTAACCTAGGTCGGTTATCACGTTACCGAGAAGTATGCCGCGATACTCATCGATTATGGAAAAGTTCACGAAGATTTTTTATGCGTGAAAATGTCGTTTATTACTGACGAATTGGATGAAGATGGAGTTTCAAGGTGGAATCAAGTAACTGTTCCACTGGCTGCGCGAATTGTGACTGAAAGAGAAAAGACGTCTTCTGAGGTTTCAACGATTAGTATAAATGTATAATCAATGTTGCAGATTATAAAAATAATTCGGGAGATATTCGAAGATTTTGGATGGGAATCGAAGTTTGTTGAAAAGGCGATTTTAGTTGCAGACGGTGCCTCGAATATGATTTCAGTAGGAAAATCATTCTTTTCTTGTAAGATTTTTTTTCGAAACCGAAATTTCAATAAAATTTCAGATGTTCGTTGTTTGTCGCACTTAGCGAACCTTGTATCTGTTCATACCATTCACCCATACAAAACCACGATTAGAAAACAGAACTTGAGCGCAAATGAAATGGAAATATTGTTCAAAGCTGAAAAACTCATTGATTTTATCCAAAACTTATCATCGAAAATGACAAAAATTAAATGCGTGAGTATTAAATATAAAATTAGCATTTTATTAAATATAATATTGTTTCTAGACATTGGGAACACTGAAATTGTCGCCACCGACAATTTCTTCCACCCGATGGCTCTCGACATATGATATGCTAGTTTGGTTTTCGTCTCATATCAACCTACTGATTGGAAATGTTGAATTGTTTCCCGAAGATATTAAAAGTGGCGTTTATGAACTGAATGAAGTGGAAAATCGCGGTCTCATGAAAGACATCATTGAAACGTTAAATCCATTGAAAGATATGTGTGTTGAAAATCAAGTGAGAACTTAATTTCATTCAATTTATAATTAAAATCTTAGAACGAAAGCGTTCAAATGCACTTCGCGCTTCCATATTATATTGGTCTACTCGTGCACTATGAAGAATTGATGAACAGTATCGAGACTTATGAAGTATAATACAAAAATAATTTTAAAATGAACTTTCATTTAAGGCATTGCGGACATTAAGCAAGTCTGCGTATTTAGCATTAAAAGAAAATGTAACAGCGTATGGCAAAATCCACGCAGCGGCTACGTTTTTAAATCCAGTTACGAAGGATTTGACGGTTTTACAAGACCTCTGCGACAAGCATTCGGTAGATAACTTATTGATAATTTTAATAATTGAATTATTCAGCTGCCATTTGATCTTTATGAAGATGCAGCGGAATATATCACCAATGTTCATAACGACTGCTTCAACATCAAAGAGATGCGGCAACAAGATGAGAACAAACCAATAATTCCGCTTCCATCCATATTACAAAAAATCATCCCCGCTATTGCACCAACGAGTTGCACCATAAATGACGAGATTAATCGTTATAAAATCGACCAGAATAGGAATTCCCCCGAAATCTATTGGCCTATGAATAGATCTATTTTACCCAATTTGTACCGCGTTGCCCGGAAAATCTTTTCATGTGCAACCTCTGAAGCTGCGGTTGAGAGACAATTAAGTCACGTTAAGTTCATTTTTTCTAATAATCGTAGACGAATGTCGTTTGCATACGCTGAAAAGCTCATTGTATTCAGTGAAATCCAGGCGAAAACCAACTTGAATATTTAATTTGTTTTCTATTACAATAAATTTTTTAGATATAAAACATGTAAATTTCAAACAATAGATCTATCTGTTTTGTATTCGAAAAATAATTCAATAATAACAAACTGAAAAATGTCCGCAGAAGTTTAAAATGAAAATTATCTTGTAAAGGTTTAAAACAACAGGGCCCCCGGCCCGGCCCTAGGCCCGGCCCTATAGGGCCCAGGGCCGGGCCGGGGGCCCGTTTTGACAACCCAGGGTAGAATGAATATCACTACACCAATTTCGCACAATGATTTACGTTCATTTGGGTGTTGAAAGGAGGTTGAAAAACAGAAGGACGATCTAAGGAAATGGGTTGGCGAAGCGGGGTGAAAGAGAACAACCGAAATATCCTAAATTTTTAATAGCGCTGAAAATCTATGCTTGACCTCAACGTCCTTCTATCACCAGCATTCATCATTTCCAAATGATTATCTTAATTGGTTCCGATAATTATTTTAATTATCGCATGAGAAAAATTGATCTTCTGTAGTTGCGAATCCCCGATAATCTGTGATTTGTGATTGTCGTAATAATCTTGTGCAATTTAAAAGATTAGAGAACTCGCACAATCGCTGATTCATTTATCGGCGGTTTGCAGAAGGCACTCGAAAGTGTCTTTCTCACATTCGCCTATGAGACATTGCGCATATACGGCAACTATTAGACGACCTATTCATAATGACCATACCTACTATATGTATGTATGTACATACATGTTTGAATATCGGGGTTTGTGTTCTCATCGTTGATGACCGTTTAGGGAATGCAATCTTTTTGATCAAAAGAACAGCGCTATTTTTTTCCGGCAAAAAAAATTATATAAAAACTTGAAATATATATTTTTAAATATTAATTATTCCTTTTTGCTATTAAACATATACCACTTCGTAGATTTTGGAAAAAAACATAACTAACAAAAAAAAACAGGATAAGCGTTGTTTTTTCTGCAATTTGCATATGAGTCTGAAAAATTTTAACAGATTTTTGGCGTTTTCTTTTTTTTTTGCAAAAATTGAATAGTGCCGGCATATACGGAAGTATTCATAAAACATCCGTTCTCATTTCTTCAATACTGGTTTTTCAGCATTTTCGCACAAAAAAAACACTTCCTTCTTTTCAAATTTCGACTATAGCTGAACACAAAGATGTTGGGCCTTTTCTTTCAAATGATTGTTAGTCATTTCACAATCAGGCAATGTTTACTCTTGCCCTGTGTTATCAGTTATGCATTTTTGATAATGATTCACAAAATACTTGGTTTTTTCATACCAAATAGTAATTCTATTGGGAATTTGTACAAAAAAAATGTTGGAGATTGAAATTTTAAGCAGATAGCCAACCAATTGTGTATACATTTTGTCACAAATAATATTGAATCAGCATTATCATTTTCTTTCAAAATAAGGTATACTAAAAAGAAGGCGTGGCTTACATGTATGAGGCGAAGCAAAAAGATGATTCGTAACATGGGCATAACTAGCAGTTTGATGCTCGCGATCCCGGTTTTGAGATGGTTTGTATTTGTAGTAAAGACGAAGGAGAAGAGCCAACACCAAAATCGAAATAATTGCTGGAATGAAGATGGCGAGGAGTTCGGATTCAAACAATCGAATCATTCTGGAAATAAACACTGTGATATGCTTCAAAACTTCATATTTCCAGTTAAGAATTTAAATCAAAAATAACTCACCAAAAAAAGGGCCGAAGCGAATTTTCGAGCGAGCTATCGTCTCTTAAATCCAGATTATCCTTCTCGTTTCCAACAACGACATCGGATTATGAATAAATTCGTGAGAATAAATCATTAGAATTCTAAAAATTTGAAAATTTTCAATCACTTTTTACTCAAGATATATCGAATAGTGTTATTATTGAGAATTTTCAAATTTGTCTGGCAGCTGTTGTAGATTTACGAGAACCCTCCTTTTAGCAATGGTGATGCTATGTGTATTTAAAAGCTTGAGTTGGTTCATTTTTCTTGATGAGTTCTATATGAACATAAGAATTTTCAATATTTTATATACAAAAATATACATATATAACCGAACCGCAAAATTCGAAAAATAAAGCCCTAGAGAAAAAAAATGTAAAGGCTAGTATTTTGTTTCATGTTTGTGAAGTTTCCGAAGATGCGATGCTGTGGATTTGCTGAACATGGAATGCTCGTGATGCGCAATTCTTCTGTGAATACGCAAATGAGTTCGATTGAAACAATTTCATTTGTGTACCTTCGTCCAATGAGATACAAAAACTGATGTCGAAGATCTTTCCGAAATTTGAATGCAATTATTGTGTTAGCAACAGCTAAGAAGCTGAAATAAAATTAAGCATTGAACGTTTAAATGTCCTGACTGAATAGTAATCTAGTTTAGATTTGAGCCTACCCTGGCATTGCATAGGTAATTGCCACTTCAATATCTCCCCAATCAGTGATATCCCAAAGAATGGTTAGCATCACTACCGCCGGAGAAGCTAGAAGAAAGATTGATGATACAGACATGGCAAGAATCATTGTCAAGCGATCCTCGGGAGCTCCATACTTTGATTGGGCCAACTTCTGAAATCCCTTAACATTTCAGTTAAACGCTTTTCTAGAATTACCCTCCATACCTGCCTGGTCACCCAAACAATCAACGTTGAGCAGAATGAGACAACGTAGGCGAGAACTATGAAGAAGAAATGGAATGTGGCATACCTGAATTGATGAATTTTTATTTGAATCCGATGACAAATGATGATACCATTTACCAGTACTTGTGATAATTGCGCAATGGTGAGTTCCTACTATTCTACTTCCTTCCACTCCTATTATGGATAAGCCCGCAAAAATAATAGTGACCTGTAAAAGGAATACATATATTATCCATATTCACCCCCCCCCCTTCCAGATAAAAATGTTGTTATGTCCCCAAACAAACTCGATTTTCTTTATTGTTGTTTTGCTCTCAAGATAATTAAGTAGAATGACTTACGACTCCAAATATGGGAACTAGAGCGGACAACATGTACTTCATCTCCTGAGTAAAAACACGCTTATAAGTTGCCGGCTTGATAACAGCCAGAATTCGCTCAAACGACAAGAAAAGTGTTGTGAATGCTGGTAGTTGAGTACCGAGTATCAATGAGTGCGGCCAATACTTCTAAAATTTATAAAGTTGAAAGTTCCGTGGGTGACACTAACTGTATAGAAACAATCGTGCACCGTAATAGGCGTCGACATGATCCCTGTCAGTAAAGCGTGACCTCGTCCAGTTCCAAGCAAAATGTAGCTAATAGCTGAAAATGAGAATATTCGAGAATTGCTCTAATTATTTGGATCACCATCGATGAGTTCAGATATATCCAAGACCATGTATAGAATATACTTTCGGCGCAATTCTCGATTCGATAGGTACAATGTTATAGTTGTCAAACTGCAGAGTGTCGAAACGACGCCTGAATAAAATTTAAAATAGTGAAATTTTGATAATTTTACCTATTGTCACATATAAGCTACACATAAATAGTGTCTGCGTGTGATCTACTTTGAAATCTCCCATCAATGTTGTAGTTTCTGAAAATAGAATATCGACGCGATTTTATATGTTTGATTTTTTTTTCGCATATGTCCAAGCTGTTACCATAATGAGATTTACATTCTCTTTTATGTCATAAAGTTAGTTATGTCACGTGAGCGATTTATTTCCGCGTTTTGATCCTAGACTAATTGCGAATTCAATCGAAAAATAAAGGTAATGTGAATATGTTGCAGAAAAGCGGAAAATTGCCAAATACTCTTTTGTTTTTCGTGAAAATCATAGAAACGAAATAAATCAAAAGGCGATATGAAATACGTGCAAAACTAATATGTTAAATTGTCAAAATGACAGACAAATTCGGCGGGACCGCGCGCAAAAATTTGAATTTGGCGATTTGGACTCTTACTAATTTGGCACATTGTGAAAATTCATAGAAAATATTAAAGGCGCGTGATAAAATTTGTAACATTGGTGGCAAGTGTTTAACTGAATTTTACCTAAATTAGTTATAGCACCATGGAAGTATTGGAAAAGTACAGTTTTTAACCGATTTAACAATGTTCTATAGTTGTCTGTGACCTTCTCGTATCCTCGTTGAAGATTTTCACGATGTTCGAAAATCACTAAATTCGAGAATATTTTACAACTCAATCTCATGTCAATTTTTATTGTTCTCAAGTTCTAAACAAATGTTAAATCAGGCGGAATCCTCATGTAGCACATTCTTTTTAGTTAGAGTTTATGATTTGGCCATCTTCTAAAATTCTCAAAAACAAATGGTTGCCGAAAATTTGTCTTGCATGGCATAGAGAAAATTCGAACGTAGCGATTTGCAGGCATAGCTTAATTCTTGAATAACTGGTAATTTGTGATATTTTACATTCATGGCTCTTGAAAACGCGATGATTCATTTCGAGATATTAAATCCATTGGCTATTTTTATTCCACCAATGATTGTGAATTTGTTATACTTTTTTTTTGAAAATTTTTGATTTGAATTGTTTTGTCTTTTTTTTTTGAATTGACACATTTTTTGAAGCTTAGAGCAGTTAAACCGGAACTCAAAAACATGTAGAAATCAAGTTTTAAAAAAGACCATCTATTCACATGGTTCAATTGTTAATTTTTTATAAGGACACTTGAAATATCTTTCGAATGCTAACAACCAAAAAGAAATAATATCACATATATGTATTGTCTAAGTGGTCGTTTCCTTTTTTAAATTCAATTATTTAAATAAATTTAGTATTTGAACAAATTTTAATCAGCCAGATCAGTAATTCAAAGGCGATCAACAACAAACAGAAAATCCCACGCAACAGCATAATGTAATTAATCAAAAACCACTTTTTTGGAAATCTTCATAATTGAGATATCAATAAATAATGAAACAAATCTATTTTGAAGAAGTCACGAAGTTACATATTCGATGCTTTTTCCGATAGATATGTGTGTAGATGTTCAAACGAGAAACATGCGATAATGCTCCAATTTTGAAATCAACGTCTACTGATTTTACAGTTTGAAAAAAAAATAATATGGTTCGCGATATAATCATAAAATTACGAATTACTACGAGTCTTTGCAAAAGTTTCGGCTCACGAGTCAGCGAATTTTTGACGTTATTCCCGTAGAGGGTAAGGGGCGGGACCATATCCTCCTGAATTTCGACCGCATTCGCCTTATAAGTGTATTATTGAGAGTATTGAGATTTTCTCTCCCAAAAATAAATTTATACACTAATATAATTTTAATGTTAAAACACACAAAACCCTCAAAAATGTTCATTACCAGGTCTCGAAGACCATCGAAAATCACTTTTAAAAAGAGCTCATATGGAAATAATGAAAGCTGATTTAGGTTTTCACTATAAAAGGTGTACCTGACATGATGATCAACCTAGGTTGAGTGATGAAAGCAAGTTTAATTTTGCAGGCGTGGTATACGTCGGCTGGAATTGTAAAGAATAGCGCCCACGGCTCGCAATATGAATAATATGTAATTTTGAATGAACTAAATAAACGCGGTAATTTAAACATATTGACGAGTTGAATGAGACCAAAAAGAGTACCAAATATGTCTATTCATAGAACTAATTGAAAACGATTTTTGCCTCTTTTTCTAAACATGACCAGCCTTGAGACATCGGTGAGTCACAACTTTGATGAAAGACCAATTAAAATCCTATAAGATAAAATTTGTTAATAAGTACAAAACAATTAAATCACTGACGAGCTCCTTTTTCTGAGTCTAACAACAAACCCTGAAAGAACTATGACGGCACAATTTTGTTAAGTTAATATACATAGTTGGCGTCCGGCGACTGCTGTACGCCAGTAGATGTAAGGGGATGCGTTTTTCTGGCGCTGACTATAAATAATTTAATTTTTATAGTTGACATATTCGAATGCGACGTAGAGGCTCTACTGTACGCGGGTAGATTCACCGACGCGTTTTTCGTCATGGTCGACTTGCCACGCTTCTAATTTTGAGAATGATACGAATAAGAAATCAAAATAATGAGTTGTTGCCCTGAGCAAAACGAGCTGTTTCATAAAATTGTAATTTAAAAACTAAGTAAGTAAGTGAAGTAAGTTTAAACCTATGTAAACTTTTTGAAAATGCCCGATTCATTCAGAATAAACAATACAAACTGTTTTCAAAGTATTAAATAAAATAGTAATTTCGAATAGATCGGTATTATTGGATAAGACATCTAAAACATATATCCTACGGTTATCTTCAAAGCGGCCACATTGGTCAGGTTCACTTTTTTTTCAAGCTCGTGGGAGAAGTTTAATTGTTGTTCTAATCCATTATATTTCTCTACGTTAATCCATCGAAATTATTCCTAGTTATAAAATGAACTTCAAATTTTATACCGTTTTTTTTATAAATTGCATATAAAGATAACAAAAACGTCTTATGAATTCGAAATTAAAGAAAGTTTTCCTAAAATTTGCAAAAATCCTATAATCTAACTGTAAGACAATTAAATATCAAAATTTATTTTTCGTATCCGTATCCAACGTTGCTAACTTCAGGAAAGGTTACTTTACATTTGGGAAGTGCAACTTTCAATTGGCGAATGAAAGCTTGCCGACTAGACACATAGGGCAGGAAGTAGAAATGGGCTCTGAACGACCGATTTATCATCGGAATACGTTTTTTTTAAATTACCGTTTCAATGATTTCAATTTTTTAAGCCAGTAAACTGCGCCATCTGTTACACATGGATTTAGAACGATTTCCTGAAACATTACCAAAGAAACTGATTGAAAGGCTTTAAATGTACCAAGTCTTCCAAAGAATGTACAGGTCTTCCCAGCGCCAAATATTTCAAAGCTTCATCTCCAAAATAGTCGCAAAAATTTAGCTTTAAAGTCGATATTCTTCGAACATCTTTTAGATATTTGAAGCCTTCATTTGCTATGGCTGAATCACTGGCGTCAACCTAAATATCACAGAACTATGCAAACTCTTCAATAAAATTACAATCCGAATATGTGTATATGGAGCGTTCGGCCAAGATTTCTCATACGAAAGATCTCCAACTTGTAGTGATGGCTTCTCGAAATCATCCTGAAATTTTATTGGAACTACTCGTATTTGAGAAATCTAAACACCTTGGCTGCAAGTACGTGCGGGATATATTCTTTCATCTCCCGAATCCTCGTCAATCTTTGTCCGTCAGACATTTCAACACACGTCGAGCCACATTCCATAAGCCATTCTAGGCAAGCAAGATCTGGACCAATTTCATGAACCCGTTTCTCATTGTATCTATTAAATGTCAAAATTGAAGCGAAACGTTCAAAGTATACAATTCATACTTGTTCGATAGTTTCTCAGCTATTCTTTTCCGGAAACTGTATAATTTCAATGATGGTAGCGCTGCAACATTTCTCTTCTGAACCTAAAATTGGAATATTCAAAGAGGATGATATTAAAACTAATTACTGTGTTTGAAGAACTACACGAGGGAAGTGATAATGCCGGTACTTGTCTGAACAAGCATTTGGTGATCATTCACTGAAAAATATGTCAGAAAATATAGTCGGTTCAATACAAAATACGGTATCAGCTAGTTACAGAATAAACTGTTTCAATAAGAAAACATGATATCGTAATAATTTATTTTTAATAAAAAAAAGTTTCAACAATGAAAACAACAACAAAAATATCAACAACAAAATAATTAGGTTTTAATCCGTTTATTACATGGTTCATCGTCAGTCTGGTTTTCTTCTGCCGTCAAATAATCGTAGGAGAGTTCGATATGAACACAGAACATTTCTTTTCTGGATGATACTGTTCGTACCTAAAATAATTCCATTACACATACATAGTTTACATAATTATAGTTAAAACAAAAGTTATCAGAAATATGCATAAAATTTTTTTAAATGAACAACCTACATTGTGGCAACTCTCGATCAGGGAATGTTTCCACCCAATCATTTCATCTACCATCCTTCTCGCTTCTTTTTCGTACCAATCATCTTCTACATCAACATGCGACTGAAACTTTAAAAATTTCTCAGGTCTGTAAAATGTTCGAACCTTTGCAAATAGATAGCAGTGTACGTTCCATTTAAATCTTTTACTTTCATCTATGTCGTCAATCCTAAACATAAATTTAGTCATAATGCAACAAAATTTTTCCAATGCAGGAATTTAAAAATGAGCTTCTCATGTATTTTTTTTTATTTTTTTTTGAATAAAGAATTCATTTCTTGATTAATTCCATAAAATATTTCCAAAAAACTACCTATTTCTCAGAACTCCTCGGAACGCTGGCAAAAAGTTTATAGCAAAAGCTGGGAGATTCATAACAACGTGAATCTGTGGTTCTTCTCCTGGCGATTTCGGAGGGCAATAGGCTTTCATTTCCTGAAACCTCGATTTTTACTTACAGAAAAAATTATTTTAAACCTTTACGGCGTCTTCAGCAACGATTGTCTTAATGAACTCCATCGCGTCAATGTTATGAACTTCGATTGCTTCTGTTTTGATCTGAAAAAAAGTTGAAACATTTGACAAACTTACAATTTAAGTTATTACATGATTTAATTCAATGTTGGTTATCAACCATTTAACACTTTCCGGGTTCAGATCGTTGGCAATAATTCGTCGAGGCTTCTTTTTCGAATAAGCTGGTAGAACAAATGGCCCAATTCCACAACAGGCGTCATAAACTGAAAATAAATTTCATGTTTTTACTCGACTAATTATTTATTACCAATCGACTGCGAATTGAACCGATTAATAATACGAATATGCTCATTGCTAAGTCGAGAGTTCCAATAAACCTAAATGACCACAATCGAGCAACTTATTAACTTTTTAAATTCGAAACCTTGCTGAAATCCAATTTGTATCTAAGCCCTTCCTCCTTTAGTTCAGTTACGTAATCCTGTTCTCCTGCTAGTAACTCCAAGTCCAAATTCCTGTAGACACTTGTAATTATGTCACCTTTCTGGACAACTGTTCTAAAATATTAAAAAATGTTGATTAAAAATTATACATAGTACATAATGAACCTGCATTTTTGATTCTTTTCCAATAGGATATTCGCAATCACATATCTAAACGGAAGTAATTTATCAACAAAGTTGCAATGAATTATGTGACCAGTTTGAGTAAAACTACTGTAATTAGATTATAAAGTGAAGCGCAGTTTTAAAGAAACGAACCTGAAATCTAATTCGTTCGGCAAAACTGATTTAATAAGCGTTTTCGCGTCAAAATGTTCAAACGTCAGCTCTTTTGTTGACGTATCAAATTTTAATTTTGATGTCTTCTCTATAATATACATTTTAAATTAATTCAAACAAGCTAATATTAAACCCTCTCCTAATTGATTCTCAATTATTTTAAGAATTTTATTTCTCACGTCTTCTGAGTTGACCTTATCTGGATGGAAAACCACTTCTTTCATATCATTTTCTTTATCCATGAAACTCTTAAATGTTCATTTTTGACAAGTAACAATCCAAAAATAACCTTTAATGGCTTGTATTTCGATCCAATGAGATAATCTTGAAGTCCGATTCGTCGTGACAGCTTTCCAACATCGTGAGAATCCACTACTATGACAGGAAAATCGACATTCACACTAAATACATATTGAAATGAGAACAACTTTGAATTCCTAACTCTTTTTAAAATAAATGTGAAAAATTCTTAAAATTATTACCTGAACTGGCTCTTATCGAGATTCGTCATTCCTCGAACAGCTTCGGACGGCTTCAAAATCGTCGATGTTTCTGGAGTTGACATTTTCCAAAAATCGAAAACCTAAGAATTGCATTATTTAAAAAAATAAATTTTGATCAGTATACCTTCGAAGGAGAAAAACGAAGAAAAAAACGAACTATCTTCTGGCTCATAACATGAGTAACAACTCAATCTAAATTTATTCTGAACATTCAAATTTTGAATAGGAATTCAAATAAGTAATATTTTGACTGATCTGTTAAAAACAACATTTACATTAAATAAAAAAAAAACATTTCTTTAAAAAAAATGAATTTATTAATTAAATACACTGTTAAAATCCCCGCATTCGATACGTTTTTTATTTTTCAAGAACAAGTTTCGCAACAGTTCATTGCCATTGTCTACGAAACAACGTGGAGTAGAATGATAGTCATCCCATAGCTCCACAGAATCGTCCAAAGTGCTTCTAAGAATGACAATTATGAAAAGCCCCTTATTGAACAAATTCAATACCTTGGTGCTAAACGGCCTCCAGAGCGAATGGCGACATTTGAAAAATCAACCTGAGAAAAGTAATCAATCATTTGAATAATTATGAATCCAATGCTCATCTCATTAGATGATTCAGAAAATGGAACGTAGATTGAGCCCTAAATCTCCAAAAATTATATTAATCAAAGACTATTTCGCAATTTTAACCTGCTTCTGTAAAACTTTCACAGCGTTATTCCAATTACTATGCGGCTTCAGCCATGGGCAGACCAAGATAAGATTCGGAAGCACCGGATAAGGCATTGCCTATAAATAATACATATACTATAACAAGATTCAAACAAATCATTATTACCTGTAGAAAATGAATAGCGAGTAGATTTACATGATATCTTGAGAATAATCGCGCCGAACTATTCAATATTCCTTCATTATTAAATTGATTTGATAGCCAGTAGATAATAAATTTCACCCGCTCGTCGAACTAAAATGCATTCTCTTCAAATATGTCAAAATAAATTTTATAGGAATTACCTCTACACAAGTTCTGACATATAAGGTGCTTCGAATTGGTTCGATATTTCCGAACTGGATATCCACTTGAATTCCTTCTTTTGAGGTAAACCGAACAATGGGAATCTGCATAAAATGCTGATCATTTTTATTCCGACACTTTTTTCTTTTATACCTTTGCTGTTGATATCACCATTATTTGGTTTTGATTCAAACGCGCTGCCTGTATTTTCCTCTTCACATTATTCATATACTTTCTGAAGTTCTAAGCTATTATTTTTTTTAAATGTTATCTGTACATTTGAAATCCTATGTTATTCTGGAATCGATTTACAAACTGTTTCCATTCTTTTTCGTTGCAGGATGGCAATAGGTCCTTAATTAAACTGTAAAATCTTTTTTTTTTAATCGTGGAAAACGAACTGACAAGGGAAGTCATTTTAGCTCCCGTCTTAGGATTTTTTGTAATTTTGCACACGTAAACTATAAGGTATTTTGAGTGTGCTCACAAAATTCCAGCCTGCACTGGGGGGTTACAGGCGAGTTATGGCCGTCTGAAAATTCAAGGTGTTTTTCCATTGTCAGCAACTATTTGGGCAAGGGGTTACGCATACGCCTCTTGGGGCCCCAATTTGGCATCCAGGGGAAGTGAAGTGGTATGTGTGCGGGGCAGTGACTTTATGATGAAGGTTCGCACCCGGCTCACGCATTTTTTGTTTTTTTTTCTTTTTGCCACAGAAAATTCCGCTGCAAATTGGTTTCAAACGCATAATTTCATGTAAAAGTGTCGTTTCAACATTATTTATTATTTTTTTTTGCATTTTACAGTTTTTCGTTTTTTTCAAAAATTTCCTGAACTCTATTATTTTCCATATTGTTTGGTTCTTGGAGTGGATGGAAAGGAATGGATGGTCTGCAAGGACACGAATACAACTCCAACATTTCGAAGGTTCTATTCCAACTGGATATACGGGATTTGTGGAATCATTCGATGTTGGAGTGTTCGGAGGGTCCAAAAAAGTTATCTAATCCATTGGAGAATACGCCCACTTTTGGCAACATTCATTCAAGGTCCACAAGCGAAAGTCGATTCTTTTGGTAAAAACCATTAATGAAAATGTTATAACATTATTTTCTTACACATTCTTTACGTCGTGTACAGGAAATTGTGTTATCCGAAATTTCAAGATTGGATCAAGCATACATAGTTGGGCTGCGAGTGGATATAATGTTTCACGGCCTCCACCATTCCTCACTCCAGCGCAGAAACTCTTTTCGAGAGACGTTGCCAGAGAATGCCAAACGCCAGAATGTAGCAATATATTGATATAACTCATTCATTCTTTTTTTGTATTTTAAAAATTCTTATGTTTCGAACTCATGATTATTAACAATCACATGAACTGTTGGTTGCCTGGCCCGCTGCTGACCTGGTGTTGCAAAATAAACTCCGAAAAAGAGTAAATTGTTAAATATGAAAAAAAAAATGAAATTATGCGTTTGAACGATCAGAAGTGAGTTTTCGACATCCAATTCGAGATCCACTCCAAGAACAAAACAATAAAGTGGAAAATAATAGAGTTCAGGAAATTTTTGAAAAAAACGAAAAACTGTAAGATGCAAAAAAAAATAATAAATAATGTTGAAACGACACTTTTACATGAAATTATGCGTTTGAAACCAATTTGCAGCGGAATTTTCTGTGGCAAAAAGAAAAAAAAAACAAAAAATGCGTGAGCCGGGTGCAAACCTTCATCATAAAGTCACTGCCCCGCAAACATACCACTTCACTTCTCCTGGATGCCAAATTGCGGCCCCAAGAGGCGTATGCGTAACCCCTTGTCCAAATAGTTGCTGACAATGGAAAAACACCTTGAATTTTCAGACGGCCATAACTCGCCTGTAACCCCCCAGTGCAGGCTGGAATTTTGTGAGCACACTCAAAATACCTTATAGTTTACGTGTGCAAATTACAAAAAATCCTAAGACGGGAGCTAAAATGACTTCCCTTGTGAGAAACTTAGCCGCGAATGCATTAATAGACGCATCACGCTTCGTACGGCATTTTTTTTAATTCTCAGACTACATGATCGTTAAACTAAATATTGTCGACGTCGCAAAATTGCGCGAAACAGGCTTAATGCCAAAAAATCAAAAGTGGTCTTGGCGCGAGATTTCCGTCTTTAATTTATTGTTAGCTTGTCATTCGACAAAATTACCCCATTGATTTTTGGCATTTAGCCTAATTGCGGTGGTCGCGCGACGCCTACAATCCTTAAAATCGACAAATATGATGACTTACGAGATCTAAGTCCGATTTTTCATGAATGAGAAGATTTCCAACGCTCCCAATTGGAACGAGAGTCGTTTCATGATTAGCAAGACAATATTGCAGTTTTCTTCTCACCGAAATAATCTAAACTAAGCAAAAATTTGCGACATTTTTTCAATGAATTTTCCAATTACCTTTTGAAGTTTAGCACGAACGTTTCTGCTACACACGTTTTGAACGAAATTATTCCCGTAGTATGTTATTTCTTCTTCATGATTTTTCAGTATTCGATCAGAAAAAGAATAATCGATTGGACATGTGTGAGTAGAACCTAAACGTAAGCATGACCTATCGAATTTTAAATTATTCATTCATTTTATAGGGCAATGCGGAAAAAATAAAAATCGGAAAATGAAAAAAATCATTTTGCTCTTTTCATTTTTTTTCTCCATTGAAATTTTCTCTATTTTATTTAATTTTTTCTGCACCAAACTTATCTAAATATATTAAACTATTATATTTCTGAGATACTTATAGTTGGAAAGCGAGTTATGCAAACTTACAGGATGCGATAGACGACATACACCTGCTGCTCACAATTATTTTTAGAACATTCATTCTCAAATATGAATATTATAGATTTTTCTATATGTTTAATTTTCGATATGTACTACGCTGGGACACTAACATATATAAATTAAAAACGCACAAATAAATAAGTATTTATTGGCAATAAATAATTTAAATGATTGGATTTAGCTTATAGATCAAAACAGTCCATGCATTGGGCTCCGCGCCAGCTGAGACAGTCCTTGCAACGCCGAAGGAAGCTCTGTAATTAATAATTTCAGTAAATTGGCATAAAAATTTAGAACATCTAGAAGTTATTTTAATGGGTGAATGCTAAAATTAGTTTTAAAAAGATTTGACATACCGCTCCTTTAATCGAATCACAGTACCAATGACACTCCGACATCCATTCCTTACACATTGTTTGGAAACATTGTCTTATCATAGTATCTACCTGAAAAAGAAACTACAGTAAATAGATTTCTTCTAAGAAAAAACCTCTGAACCACTTGGAACTCCTGTCGGTGGAATATTGTAAGTTTCCGAATTCCCAATGAATACGAGCAAAATGAAATAGGAAAGAATCGCCAGCATCCGCATAATGATAATGATAATATCTAGCGGATTCCCCGCGTCGCAAACCACACCCACCCCACATTTCATTAATGCGATATGAATATTCTATCGAGAGATATCAGTGTTCGATAAATTTATTCATACACACATCTCCAAAACTAATACACTAAAAATATACAGTTTTGGACACGCGTCGCTAAACCATGTAAAAACGAATGAATTAAGAAAAATGAAAAAGGAAACGGCTCGTCTAAAAAGGAAACAAATTTTACTTAGTGGTGTCCAACTTCCACTTCTCCCTCTTTCTTCAATGGGTTGTATTTCTTGAAATACTCCTTGTCGGCCAACTTCTGACGAATTCCGTACCAGTGCTCCACCTCGTGATGGTGATGATCCTCCTTTCCTTTGTGGTATTGGATCATGTGACGCGGCTTGACTAAATATATATCTTTCATTTAAGTTTTAACAGAGATCACTCACTTGGGAGCACGAATTTGTAGACTCCGTAAAGGATGACACCGGAATAGATGTAGAAACGGAAAACTGGGAGATACTTCCAGCAATGACGCCATGACCACATTCTCAACTAAAAAAATGTAATTATCTAAATTTGATTACAAATATTTGTAATCTTACGTATTCCTGTGCGGTCCATGGTCGGGCTGGCATGCGTGGATGCAAATCAGTGGCTGGGATTGGAGCATTTGGAGAAGCGACGACAACCGCAGCTCCCTTGATAGTCTCCGCGGTCCACTTAGCGGCTTCAAAAACTTTTGCGACAACCATAGTTGATTACCTGAAAAATCTACATACAAATTCAAAAAGAAAGTAAAAATAAAAACTCTGGCATAAAAGAAAGTCGAACGGTTTCGAAAAAATGTTTATATCGTTTAAATTTTCATTAGATTGAGAAACGTTGTCACTCCATTTGAACCTTTTTTCGACTCGAAAATTGTTGAGATCGATTAATTCTTATTTTAAAATTATTTTCTATGTCGTTTTAGATTTTTTCTCGAAACCGCATTTAAGAACATGTTAAATTCTACGAATATTTTTATTACTAATATCAATTCCCAAACTTTAATTCACTATAAAACAAGGATTGAACCTGTTTTGTTGCTCGTTGTTTTACCAAATTCTGCAACAAAGATTATATTTCCGAGAAAAAAACAATATTTGGTAAATAAAAAAATTAAATCATTACTGATTTTCTAGTAATACAATATCGTATTTAATTGACTAAAAATGTTTTTTGATTATTCAGAAAAAATACAACAAACAAGCAAAAAAAATTGAAAAAAATAGTCTTTTAGGCACCTAACAGAGGAACGGGCGGCCTGAAGACTCCGCCCACTTTGGACAGAATGTGCAACCACCGCATGGTTCTCAGCAAATGTCTCCTTCAAACTAAGAACGCTTCATTTTTTTTTTGAATATTGGACGCCGTTTTTTTTATCTTTTGACTTTGTTGATTTTTGTTATTTTTTTTTCGTATTTTTAAACAATCTTTGGAATTTTTTTCCGCATACTCACTTTTTTCGCATACTCGAACCCAAAGCGACGTGTTATGGAAATGAATCGTTGCCATTCGTAGATTTTAATAATGAAATATTGGCATTGATATTTTTTAAATAAAAATTGTTTCATTTTTAAAATCCATTTGTAGTCGAATTTTAAAACAATTTCTGAGAATGCATGAAAATTTTCGTAAAAAAAAATGCTTTCAGAAATCTAATTTATCGAATATAAATTATGCCAGAGCAGATTCTAGGAAATCGTTAAAGTATTTGTTTCATATTTAGTTCCCACCATTTTCAAAGTTCATTTTCGTTAACCTCCCACAATATCATAAAATAAATGTGAATTTCGTGTTAGTTGGTGTCGCGCCGTTTCGCTAGCGTAAGAGACGAAGAGGGTACGCCTAATAAGAGGCGGATGAGAGAATACGTGCAGCGTCGTTCCCCTTTGTGTGCTTGGCCAATTTTTGGCGTTTACCAGTTTTGAGAACTGTTCTTTTCTTTCAGAAACCATCATGGAATCCAACGGACCACTTAAAGAACACGGAAAACGCCGCGTGGCGTATTACTATGACTGTAATTTCCAGTTGTTTAAACATTTGCGAATTAACTCAATTTCAGCAAACATCGGTAACTATTATTACGGACAAGGCCACGTTATGAAACCGCACCGCATACGCATGACCCATCATCTTGTTCTAAACTACGGCCTCTACCGTCACTTGGAGATCTTCGTATGTACCCGAGCACACTTAATGGTACATGGGTATTTATATTATTACAGCGCCCATTTCCGGCATCATTTGAAGACATGAACAGATTTCACAGTGAGGAATATGTCACATTCTTGAAGAGCGCCAATCCGGATAATCTTAAATCTTTCAACAAACAAATGTTGAAATGTGAGATTTAGCAATAAGAAATATCGCGAAATAATTTCTATTTTTCAGTCAATGTTGGAGAGGATTGCCCACTATTTGATGGGCTTTATGAATTCTGTCAGCTGAGCAGCGGTGGATCATTGGCTGCTGCCACCAAACTCAACAAACAAAAAGTGGATATTGCGATTAATTGGATGGGTGGTTTGCATCACGCCAAGAAGAGTGAGGCCAGCGGTTTCTGCTACACCAATGATATTGTGCTCGGAATTTTGGAGCTCTTGAAATATCATAAGCGTGTGCTCTATGTCGACATCGACGTTCATCATGGTGATGGTGTCGAAGAAGCCTTCTATACCACCGATCGCGTTATGACTGTTTCGTTTCACAAATACGGAGACTTCTTCCCGGGAACTGGAGATTTAAAGGTGCTTATACTCAAAAATTTAAACCAAAACAATAATTTTTGTAGGATATTGGAGCCGGAAAGGGTAAATTATACTCGGTCAATGTTCCACTTCGCGATGGAATTACTGATCAAACATATCAAAGCATTTTCAAGCCAGTACGATTAATCATTTTTTAAATATTGCTGAAATGTCTTAATTTTTTTAAAGATTATGACCAAGGTCATGGAGAGATTCCAACCTTGCGCTGTTGTTCTTCAATGCGGTGCGGACTCATTGAATGGAGATCGTTTAGGACCATTCAATTTGACTTTGAGAGGTATGTTTTGAAAACTTTTGGAAAAAATGTGTGAAATAGTAAAATTACGGTATTTATTACTATCGCAAAAAACGGGAACTTAGTGAACATCTACGGCGAGCGAGTTTGATTCACAGGTTATCCGTAGTACGGCACATTGATTCATACTGTTTAAAGTCAAATCTGAATTACCCCCGAAAAAATACGATGGTCCAGAAATAATCAGTGAGCTCCGTTTTTTGCGGTGTTAAAATGAACATTCCTGCTGATAATGCAAAGAAAATAATATTTACGATTAATTTATTTTATTTACGTTGCGATATATAAAAGGCAGTGTTAATGGTTATTTCTTTACATCTTTTTTAGTTTTCTTTCAACTTAGCGTAAAAGCAAACCTCAATTTGGCGGATTTTTAGCCATATAGGTGCTTACGTCGGTAATTTGAATGAAAAACCAACAAACGGCGATGAAAAATATAGGATTTTACTATGGATGTGAAATTTCTCGAGCCTAAATTTTCCGAAACAAACACATCCAGTGATCTTGAAGCAAAGAATACTGTAGATGGTCAAAAGTACTCTGGTAACTCAAAACCAATTTGATCCGACAAAATTCGGCCCCGGAATCAACCTTATCCGATTGGTAATTCTACGAATAAGTTTGGTTTTTTGTCGAATACGATTAGATTTTCTTCGAATCCGATTGGTAATTATTTGAATCCGTTTTGTTTTAATATTTCAATTCGAATCGGATTCGACAAATATCCAACCTTATCCGTAGAATCGGATACGAAAATACCCAAAAAACCAATCGGATACGAGAATTTTACAATCTTATCCGTAGAATTACCAATCGGATAAGGTTGATTCCGGGGCCGAATTTTGTCGGATCCGATTGGTTTTGAGTTACCAGAGTACATGGGAGAAAGCCTAAAAAGTATTCAGGAGCAAAAAATACTTTTCAAAACTTACGATTAGGTTTTTTTATTAATGCGACTGTTGTATATTTTTGTTGGATAATGTGCTTTTCGTCATATTTCTTGGCAAAAATTAACTGAAACTGCTTAAAATCACGCGTTCTTCGAATTTTTAAATCAGGAAAAATTTTCTAGGACATGGAGAATGCGCTCGTTTCTTCCGCAGCTTCAACGTTCCCCTTATGATGGTTGGTGGTGGTGGCTATACACCACGCAATGTGGCTCGATGTTGGACATACGAGACATCAATTGCGGTTGACAAGGAAGTGCCTGATGGTTTTTCAATTAATTACAAAATTTTATTGACAATTATTATTTTAGAGCTTCCTTATAATGATTATTTCGAATATTTCGGACCAAATTATCGACTTCACATCGAGGCATCGAATGCGACCAATGAAAACAACGCAGACATGTTGAATAAGCTTCAGTAAGAAATTATTATATAAACGTGCAACCCCGTATAATTTACTAATCTTCAGAGAAGCCGTTATTCAAAACCTTGAACAGTTGACTTTCGTGCCAAGTGTACAGATGAGACGTAAGGGTTTATTGAATATTGATTTTATTCGTAATTTGATATTTAGCGATTCCGGAAGATGCTCTTAAATGTTTGAATGATGGATCGATCCCTCGCGATAATGCCGATCCTGACAGACGACTACAACGTAAGGATCTCTATAAGAAGATGCACTAATGTCTGTTTTTTCAGCATCTATTATGGATGGATGCATCGAAGATCCTGGAGAGTATTACGATGGTGAATTGGAAGGCGATGATCGCAGAGATGAGAATGATGCGAAACGTGCAGCTGAGCGTGAGAAGACTATGTCGGAAGAGCCAGCTGGAAAGAAACCACGTGTTGAGGTTTGGAATTATTACCATCGCAAAAAAACGAGCGCCTTGCATAATTTGACCATCACACTTTTTCGCGGCGGTAGCTCAAATTCGAATTTAAGCAGTGGGAATTAACTTTAAATTTAATTAATCTATATAAAAGTAGAAGACGCTTTGACATTCGTCTTGCAAAACCATTTTTATTTATTTTCGTGTTGTTCGTCTAGAGAAAATCCTTTTTTCTATCCCATTGTTTATGAGAGTGAACAATTGTCTTTCCTTGTTGATACGCAAAAAAAGTGAGCTTCAGTCTAAAATCCAGGAAATCTACTGTTGCACTTTTTCTGTTAATAAGATTATTATATTATTAGCCGAATTTGATGAGATTAAGTTTTGGGAAATTGCCAAAAAGCAATCTCAATAAATCTAACATCTTACTTAATGGATTTTCAGTGTAAAAAGAAAATTTTGAATTTTTCAGGAATAATCAGCGATTGCTTGCTTCAATTCGCTATTAAACTCTCACCGCTGTATTTAGCCGTATCGTTTCTATTTGCAAAATCTTGATTGTCTGAAACTTGACGTACTGGTTTCATTCATAATTTATATAATCCATTAATTATGATGTCGAACTCACCATATTTGGATGATAAATTGCTTTCTTTATGTTTTGCTTCGACGATCTCCATTGTTCATCTTCTTCCCTTCGTTTTCCTTTTTTAAAAATCGACATCGTTTTGCGTTTAATCCTCTGCTTTTTCATTTTCCTTTCGTCTTGTCCGAATATTTTCTGTTTCCTTATGAAAAAAAAAACGATTCCTTTAGTATTTCGTTGATTGGCGTATTTGTGCTGTAACTGAAAATCGAGACGAACTTCGTTTGTTCCGCATTTTTTCCCTTGATCCATTATGCTTCTTTTTTTCTTGTATTCCAATTGTATACGATATTATATTGAGAACTAATTTGATTTTACATCCTATTTATTTACAATATGAATGTTTAACTGTGCGCAACAACACATTTTTTTGGTGGCTGCGCGAAAAATGGAAATTGAATCACGAATGTCGGAAACAAATTAAAGTGGAAATTGCGTAAATACCCTTGGGATGTTTTTTTGCGTTATTTTTTTCGTTTTCTTCTTCAAAACTTTTTCGAGTTCATCCCTACCTTTGAATACGGTGTGAATATTGAAATTTTTTGAACTTGGGGTAAACTTTTTGGAAGTTTCCCCGGCTTCGAGAGATTTATTGAAGTGCTTTGCAGAGAAAACGTTGACCGTTGCTCTTTTACTTGCATTCTCTCCGAATTTTCGACTTGATGCGTTTGAATATATTATGGGAATTTTAAATGAAAGTTTAAATATGTTCTTTTTTCTCTCTCTTTTGATGATTATTTTTTGGATGAGATCATAATTTTGAATGCGAAAAACGTATTTTGTTGGTTCCTTGAATTTTACACTTTGGAGCCATTGATGAGCTCAAGTGCCTTCAATAAAAATTTCGGAATGATTTTTCGTCTTGACTTTCAAGCGAGAAATGGAATTTTTAAAATTGTTGCGAAAAATCCTCTTTTTGAAGCTCTTCGAAATTATTGCAAGGTAGAAAAATCATCATGGTGCTCAAATTTCTATGCCACATTATTTTCCAACGTAGGTCATTTGAGATGAGTCTATCACGGATTAGATCTTACAATATGGTCCATTGATTTAAAAAAAATTGACAACCAGAGTCGGTCGTCCAATTTTTTACTTTTCTGTGGTTTTAGCCTTTAATCAATTATTTAACTTCTTTGAAAAAAAAAATTAAATTGTGTTTAAATTTCCTAATATTCGAATATTAAAAAAAAGAAATTTTGGAAATTGAACACAGTATCCAACAATTTGAATTTTGAAGAAAAATTAAGTAATTTTCTAATATGAAAAATAGTCTTTGGATTCAAAATTAAAGGAGTGTCAAGTTTTGGAGAGTCTGGTGGCGCCCAATTTTGGTAGTCACAGTTTTTTTCAGAAGCAAGCTATGCTTTATCTAGAAAAAGTAAAATACTAGTTCTGCACAAACTACACACAATTAAGCCGCCAAAAAACCATAAAATCGAGTGGCACATAATATCGCAAAAATTCTATCTAAAGGGGCAGCATTAAGTTACTCGATTTCCGTTGATTTGCATTAAGAAAGGAATTCGCTTTTGTCCCCATTTTTGAATGAAATTTTTATTATATTTTTACAGTTTCCGATATAATTTTTTTCCGATATAAGTTTCCGATATAATTTTGATTAAATACCTATAAAAAATAGGGAAGTGAGTGGAACAACACCGAAAATATAATATTTCAGCAAACTCGTTTGTTTGATTTATTTGCCTTATGATTTGTTTGGTTCTCATTCTGAAATTGAATTCCCACGAGAAATAAATTGTTTACTAATACGTAAAAACAACAAAATACTTCTTACATTCTTCACCACTTGTTTTATTACTTCTGAATTTGAAGATTATCAATAAACATTGAGAATTACTACTTTTGAATGCCGAAATTTGGCCGATGAAAAAATGCGTTCGTTTTCTAACAAATTTTGTGTGTATATTATACGAATTTCAATTATTTTTTGTTATGATGAATTGTATACATATACATTCTATATCATATATATCACGGTACAGGGTTATCACTTTTGAATCATGGCGCATAATCTTTAGAATATGTGGTCATATGGCTTCGCCCGGTGATTTTTAGTAATATTTTTTTGATTTACTGAATATGTATTAAACCGAAAGGTATGACAGATTTTTATATGTCATTTTACTGCACAATAGTTTCTTTGATATTATTTCATTTATATTTTTTTAAGTAGAAATCAATCAAGACCTGAATTTTCGAGAACGGCTGACTCATTATATATTTTTATTTTCTTAACAGCTTATCAAATAAAAATTATGGTGCTCACATAATATTAATTAATTAAATTAAGAACCCATCTTTTATTGATGATCATTTTTCGCGAAAATTTTCGATTTGAAATGAAATTCCATTGCCACACATTGATTTATTTTTTAAAATTAGTCTGGAAGAAATCAAATTACCTCGTTCAATTCTGCTTTTGTTTGCAGCTTATACTAAATAAATAACACTGGAGCGAGGAAATTTTAGAATGATCATTGTGAGATGGAATCGGGGTCCAATTGCTGAGATTGGGAGCCACACAAGCTTGATGCTCGAACAGGTTGAGCAAATTTATCTCGCCCACTCACAAATTCCAGAATCTCGCTCAAACAGCATTCATCAATATTTTTCAATTTATCCCCGAGGCTAAATAATTGCATTTAATGCGGAATAATTATTGAATTCACCCTATATGGGTTATTCATAATCCAAACATTCAAGGAATTAAACTTCGTTTATTCCGATCTCGCTACAATTTTGAGGCACGAATGATTTTGAATTTTCCATCATTTACCAAATTTGTTCATTCAAATTTACTACCTTTTGTGTACACAAAGTAATTTCCGTCGACTAAAACATTTTTAGCTGAAATTTTGAAGAAGGAAAGCGAAAAATAAAAAATAAAGATTAGTCAAATTAGCGAAAAAATTTATTTTGCACAGATTATTAATCAATAACAAATGTCCCAGAAACTTTAAACTGGTCTTCAAAGGAAACTCGATATTTTAAATTTATTGATGCTATCCGAATATGATGATTTTCTGGCACAAATGTATTCTATGAGGTCACTCAAAAACACGCCAATTCGTATCCTCAATTGCTCAATATCTAGTATATACTTTTCTCGATTCTCCTATCATTTCCAACAGTGCTTTATTAAAGGCCACCCCTATTCCGAAAAAAAGATGAAAATAAAATTGCACCGAGCGAATTGCACATAATTATAGCGTTGCTTACCGAAAAACGTTCCTCGGTCAATTCCTTCCTCTTCCTTCAATAATTTGCCGCCGTTTTCATTTTGTCGTCCGCCAATTAACTAAACAATTTCAGAACCGTGGTTTATAAATCAAACTGACAGCCACAAATGGCATGAGCGAACAGCAAGAAAAAATTGAAAAGCCCTATAAAAAATTCGTAAAATGTTTGAGTGATGCGAAAAGCGGTGCACATCGAATTTAAAATTCATGAAAGCTCTAGGGGTTTTTTGGGGGTCCGAAAAAGAAACATTTTCGGTTGTCAGCGAATTCCAGAAATTCATTTCCGGTTCAGGTACATGCAATTGATTATTCATTATTTCCGATGTCCTCTATTTTTTTTCGGTCTCGCTTTTCATTATTGAGTGCTCTCGTTTCCAATATTTTCCATTAACATTTGCCGATCGCATTCCGTTTCATTACATCATAATGGGCAGAAACAAGGGGTCACAAGGCAGCCAAATGCATTCCGGAAATCTGCTTTTCCCCCGTCTTCGCTCTTAAACTGCAATAGCATAGTTAATTTTGAGGAAGATTTCCAGAAAAAAGATGGCCGCAGTTCGCACAGGAGCCGTCGGATTATCGAAACAGCCGAGATTCGTTATGTATTCCTCCAATCGAAGTAAGTTGAGCCAAGAAAACATTCATCAAGTTGTAAAAGTATAAGCCAAAATAGTTAACATTCCGAATAGACATTACTTTTTTTTAATCGCTATCATAATTCCTAGGAGACTGAAAGTGACGGTCTTTTCATGATCAAATCCAAATGAAACACGAGCTCAGAATTTCAGACGCTTTTTCAGTTTATAATTACCGCATTTCACATTTTGGTTTCTAGCGTAAAACAGTATAAAGGGATCCCGGAATGGTTCTGAGTTCTGTCTTATTGGATACCCCATGTTGCGGAAAATCAGCTCTTGAAATTAAAGGGGTTTGGGCAACCTTTCAAAGTATAAAAATGTAATGGAAAATCTATAATAAATAAAATATAAATAAATAATAAAATATAAATTTCGAAAAAAAAATCAAGGAAAACTGATAGAAAAAATATTGTCGCCAAATATAATGCACAAGTCCGATAATTGCGGACAATGCATTTTATTTAACGAAAATACACATGCGATTAATTAACGTCGAATTTTGGGTTTTTTTTATTATTTATCTATTTTCCATTATATTTTAATACTTTTAAAGTTGATCCCACCCCTTAAAAACGTTTTTAAAGACATTTAGATGTCAAATTATATAATGTCTCCAAAAGAGCAGATCAGTAAAAAAATAATCACGTCATTTCCATGGATATAATTAAAAACCACATACCCTCAGCGAGCAGGAGTGATTGAAAATGGAATATGAGAAATACGTTTGTATGTTTAAACAATCCGATTCATATTCCCAACGAAAGGGCGCCATTCCTATTCCGACATGAGAAAATCGACATGAATCGTCATGTTTGCACACATTGGCATTCTTAATAATAATTAGTACTAATATATTAATGAATAAAATAAAAAATCCTCATATGAGCATGAGAAACAAGAAGAATAACATTTTAATTTCCCGCCCCCACCCTTCTTTTTTGTATATAATTTATTTTTTCATAATGTAGAATACAAAATATGTCATAAAAAAAGGCAAAAATAATTAAGTCATGTACATTTGCATGCCTAAAAGTCATTACTAGAATGAAATGCATAGTAAATCCAGAGGGTCTTCTTATTCATTTTATACAAACATCTTCACTATCAGAATGAAACAAATTTCGAATTCCACTCAATCGGACATTTTTGATTCGTGATTTGAACTTTCAAATTAACCAACAGCTGGAAATTGTTTCAAGCGATTTTTTTCTTTGTTAAATATTTTCCAATAATTTTCCTGACGCGACAATTTGATGACTCGCGAACACACTAATGCCTCTCATTTGATTTTTGGATTAAATTCTTGGAATTTGCTGAATATCTTATCAGATTTTCAAAAATATTCGTGTCGCCTCTCTGTCTGCTCTATTATTTTTCTGTTGGTAAGCGTGAAGCCAAAAAAACCCGCTTTTAAAAGTAATCCAACAACATACCATAAATATATGGAATATCTAAAATGGGTTTTTTAATGAGATTTTTCGGAACGAACCACATGAAGATTTATGAACCTCTTACGATGACATACGTTTCGAGAATAGCTACTTCTATAAAATATTCATCTAAAAAGGTTTAGGACAATTTTTTTCAATAAAAAGCTTAAATTATTAAAATTCGGTCTATCACGAAATTTTTTTAATATAAAAATTTCAAAAAAATTTCTAGCGGTCTGGCATTTCGGAAAATGTTACTAAAACATGTTAAATGTGTTAAAGGGAGTCAAAATTCAACTATGCTTCCAAATGCCAGACGAATAAGATCATTTTCTGATTTTTTTACAACAAATTAGTGATAGACCAAAATGGCAAATTTTGGTAATTTAAGTTTGTGAATTTTATGAAAATTAGTATTTCTGGAACTGAGCCACAAATCGCGAGCTAATGAAGACACATAGAAAGTTTAAACCACTTATTATGTTTTTTAGAGTTTTGAAATATACGCAATAATTTTACTTAAACAAATTGAGAAACACAATTTTCTTTAATTTTCTTTTCATTTAACTTGATAGTTTTCATTAAGATTTGAAAAAAAAAAATCAGAACTGTCTAGCTCTTTAGACAATTAGACCCTTTCTAATATTAATTGATAGATTTCTTGATAACTATTCTTCTGTACTAATAGTTGAATATAAACTTCTTTAATTAATCCAGACATTTCTTCAAAATCTATATAGATTAATCAAATAAATGACATAGTAATGGAAAAACAGCATATGCTTCTATTTTGCACATGACTTTCTACGGCAGCGAACACACAAGAATATAAGCAAAATCAAGCTCCGTGAGAGCCGCCTACCAAAGCACATTTCTTTCTGACGAAGTGCTCAGGTGTTGTTGCGTGATTTTGCATCATTATTCAGTCAGTATTGATGCTCTAAAATGCTGAGCCGATTATTCTCGCGAGGTTCGTTTTTGAGAACCATTTCAACAAAGCATTTATAATTGGGAATTGTCGCAATTAAGAGACGATGACTATGACCATCTCTCACATCATTCTAGCTGATAATTGACGCTGCTTATTTCCAATTTTCTTTTTCTAAAAATGGCAACTCTCAAGTGCTTAAAAGTTATTATCCGTTGTATTAAGGTGTTTAAGCCATTTTCAAAAATATCCATGCTGTAAATGGGGATATTTACGAGCATTCGATTCCTCCCTATGGACCCACACTTACTGGTTATTTGTGATCGTTATGGATTTTTCAATGCAATAAAAATGTTTAAAAAAAATTAAAAAATTTTTCCATGCAGGCATACAAAAATGCGTATCTAATGTAATTTTTACAATTATAAAAAATTCACACAAATTTCTAACGCTAATGAAAGCTTTATATGAATATATATTTCAGTAAAATTTATAATTAAAAAAAAAAACATAGAAGAACGAAACCAAATAAAATTCGAACGGCCCCCGTTATTGTCTGTATACACACAAACGCAATTTTGCGGACATCGAATTTCTCGCAAACAAGTTTTCTTTTCAAATGAATTTATTTGAATTTTTCTTATAGAAAAAAGGAAAACCGAGAATGTACGCAAGCTATGACATTTTCACACGATTAAAAATTTGCTAACATTAATTATCGATTTTTCAAAAAATAAATTTAAAGAACAATTCGCGCACAATTCAAAAATTAAAAATCAGTATCAATTAATTTTTAATTTTAATTTCCAACTCATCAAGAAAAAAGGTAAAATTTACCGTGTAAATTTTGAAAATTCAAATTCCTAATTGTCTGATTCCTTTACGTCCAACTTTTATCATCAATTAAAAAACGAGAGCCTTGGAGTAAATTAGAAGGAATTAATTAAAATTCCCTCAGTTTATCTCGAAATTTGAATTGAACTGCGCAGGAAAAGATAAGCAGGTCCATAAAAATCCAGTTTGTTTGTTTTGTTTTTCGATAGTGATATTTCGTTATTTATAGGTCGCAAAAAGTACATTCTCGATATTTCCACATAATTTGATTTTGACTCCAGAAATCGCAACTCAATATTTGTCCCAATAGAGATTCGAGCAAAAAATGGATCTCCAAAAAAAGCACATCAGACTATTCGCCGAACTGCGTTTTAATAGAAAACTCAAACATCAAAGGAATCTTCATCAATTCCCACAAAACATGTTTTTGCAGTTTATTAATAATACATCTTTCCACATAAGAGGAAAATTGATAAATTGTCTCTTGACGATTTTTTTTTTGAAAAAAAAAATCAAATTGGTTATACGATGTTAACACGGTTAATTTTCCTCCAAAATTTTGAATCACTTTTTGCTTGTCAACACAAGTTTTATTATGAAGAATCTCAAAAAAGCGATGTATTGAATTTCGAACAGAATCTCAAACCAGCAACGAAATTTAATATTCTTGGGAGCAATTCGGCTCGAATCCATTATGGGAATTTATGTTTTTCCATCGATTCTCGTGTTTTTTTTTTCTTCATCACTTACCAATAATCTTTTATTAATCCGATTATGGATGTTCTAATGTGTAGAAAGAAAACTTAGATTAGAGGCGTTAGAGGCCAACAACGAACATTTTTTTTTCGAAATCGCAAAACGTGAGAATTTGCGGAAAAAAACGCAATTAGTTTCCGTTTTCAAGTAAAATTTAATTTCCGGCTTAAGAAAATATGTTTGAGCTAGTTCTCTAAATTGATGCCAAATTTCAACGATTCATGCATTCGCATAATAAAAAATTGTGCGTAGGTATGGAGATGTGCCTACAAATTATATAATCTGTTAAACAGAAAGTAGTTGTGATGATCGCAACCACACTAATGGGTAACAGTTAATATATGATTTTGCCTGCTGCTTATTTTTTCGTCACGAATCAATGGGTTAGTTGTTATCGGAACAATTCACACTATTTGATTTAGTTTTCTCTGATTTTTTTCCAAATGAGATCTTTGAATATTTGCTTAAATTATCAAAAAATTTCGAAATTAAGGTTCCGATTGGGGGTCTCGCGACGAACGCAATCAGGAGAAAAGTGCGCCGTCGTCCGCGTACGGTAGACGCTACGGTGTTGCGATGAGTAATGCGGAATCGGTGCGACAGAAATGGAAGATTCGAATGAGGCTCTCGGACTTGAAAGTCAAGGTTATTCCAAAATCAAATTTTATTTTTTCATCTTCTTTTTTTTAGTTATGCGATGTGACATTGGTTCTCGCCATATCCGGACTAATATTGGCGATTAGTGATGTCGAAATACGAGCAACGGGTCTTCTTGGAGAATATGTAATAGTAAATTCTCATAAATTCCAATCTTCAATATAAATTTTCAGTCAAATGAAGTGTCATTCATATTGCGTATGGCTACAATTGTCACAACCATTGGGTTATTGATCTCTTTATTAATTTATCATTTTTTTGATGCAAAGGTCTGAAAATTGCCAAAAAAGAAACGCTTTGATAGATACCGTTTTTTAGATACAATTAGTCGAAACGGGAACTTCAAATTGGCGGGTTGGTGTTTCGAAAAATAGGCTTCTTCAGATTGTTCTTGAGCTTGCTGTATGCTCAATCTGCCCATTCCCAGGTACTAAAACAAGGTTCATTCAACATTTCAAGCAATTCCAGAAACGGGTTGGATTAACTGGCCTTATCTATCCAACGATCCCATTAAAATACGTGAGAAAATCAAAGTTCCGGTATCCGTTCTCCTGACACTTCCAATGTTTCTTCGTTTATACATTGTATGCCGCTATATGGTTCTTCACAGCTCCCAAAATCAAGTCAGAAACATTAATAATGCAATTCAATGTTTCATTATTGATTTAGGACACAGCAACTAGAACAATCGCTTCTTTAAACCATATTTCCGTGGATTTCCGGTTCGTATTCAAAAGCGAAATGTATGACCGACCCCTCTACGTCTTATCAATTGCTTCAATTTTATTCTGGTGCATAACATCTTGGATGTTAACACAATGTGAAAGGTGGAAGAAAAAACTAATTTTTCGAAGAAGGGTTGAATTGAAAAAAAAATTGCAGATACGCCTATCCAAGCATTGGCGGATTTCAACATTTTGCCGATTATTTATGGTTCGAAATAATTGTGAGCTTTTCGATATTTCAAATATCATATTGAAACAATCGCAGACATTTTTCTCGATCGGCTACGGTGATATTCAAGTGAACACATTTTGCGGAAGAGGATTGGCAATGTTGACTGCAATTGTGGTAACGATACTTTTAAAACCAATGATGTCATTGTGTATACTTAAAAGTAAACGTGGTCTTGCAAGGATTTCGGAGACTTTCTTTTAAAATTAGAAGATTTAAAAATGGCTGAGGTGGACCAGAAATGACGAGCAAAATAAAGAGCCGCTTAAAAATTATTATGGAAAAAAATAACAACGTCATTTTAAATAATAATTCGAGTTTGATAATCCGCCAAAAGGATTTTTGAACATTCTCTCAAAGACAGGCAACTTCCGGAAACTTCCATAATAAGTGAAATTCGTTTTGAATTCTTGGCGCGAAATCCGGAAGTCGTCTGTCATCGACAATATTTTTAGCCATCAATATTTGTTTTATTTTCAGGGAACCCTATTCTCATCGACTTTAATTGCGTTGATTAGTCGAAAATTAGTGCTGACATCATGTGAAAAGCGCGTCAATCACATAATTGCTGAGAACAAAATCACCAATGAGTGAGTTTATTCCTCCATTTCGGGTTTCGCTTGCTATTTGCCAAGACTTACTAATTAAGACATAAGCATGCAGCAGCTTGTGTTCTGCAAAACACATGGCGAACCGTCCTGAGGTCTAGAGAGTACGAGAAGAAAAACTCGAAAAGGAACCATGTGCAGCTTGCCGCCGCTCAAAGAGCACTGCTCTCTTCAATTCTAAGGCAATTTCAACTGAAATTCAAATATTTATTAAGTTTTTCAGCTTCCGAAAAACACGTTGGCGCCTTCGAATGCAATTAGAAGATGAAGACGACTATTTCACGGCTAGAAGGGTAAATTGGACTATAATCGAACATCAAATGGAATATTCGATATTCAGGCATTTACTGAAACTGAAGAGCGTTTGCAAAATGTGCGCCAACGACAGTCGCAATTAGACGCCAAAATTTCAAATTTATTCGAAAATGTGGAATCATTGACGAAAATCGTTTTGTGCCGAAATTGTCGCATTCGATAATTGCTTGATATGCTAGTATTAATAATGAAACATATTTTTGATCTCTTATCGTTATTTAGTTCTCGGAAAAATTTTTGAGAAAATTTCCAGTAATTTTTTTATAGAAAATCTCGAAACCATTTTCAAAATACAAAATGCAAGTGCGTTGGGAACGATTGTAGAAGTCGAATTTTTTTGTTTGGAATTAGCTTTTTCCGATTATCATCACCATAGTCTTTCATTCCAATATCGTTTCATACGATTTTCATATTTTGGACTGGCTCTAGACTCTCAAAATGAATGTTCTCCACTAACTGGTATGATTTCCTGATTCGATTCCGCTGAAAAACGCCAACGAAGAGTTGGTCCGACATTTTTATGGACAAGAAGGACAATTCTAGGCAGTTGTTGCTCAGAAGCCCTGCGAAATCCTTTCCGGTTTCTAATGGACTGACTTAAAATTATTTCAAAAGAATTAATGTGTCATCGACTGTTCACAGAACGAGTTTTATACACATTGGAGCCCACATTCCGACGAAAAAATTCGAAATAGACAACATCGGCGCTGATGGCTTTATAATTAAGCACCGCGCTGGTACTCTTTGAGTTACCAACATAAAAATTGGTATTCCTAGGTAATTTTACAGGCCGAACACGATTTTTTTATTTATTCGAAATGCTGCACCTTTTTTGATCATACAGTACCCCGCTGGAATAAGATCTTGTGATATGATTCAGAAATCAACCACTTTGCCACCGTTTTTTATTACTTTTTATCTTTGTTATCTCCTTATTTCAATTTTCTTCCTTAACGGTGTAACTTCTTCATTTTTAGACACTCTTGCTGGGACTTTACTCCTTTATTTTTTCTATTAACATCCACCTAACGCTTCTTTTTTCTTTTTTTCTTACTGTAATTCATTTTCCTCTTTTTCGATTTTTTAAATTATATTTTTGAGAATGTTAAAATATTATCCGTACCGGTCGGATCGGGTTAAGCCGAGTTTTGTCCGATTGGTTCTGAGTTAGCAGAGAAAATTTTTGGCACCGGTTAACCTGAATAACCAAATAACTCTAAACACACAAAGCACAACACCGCCGGGAGAACGAAGGCAAATGGCTACTCTTCAAATAATATTCTAAAATTTTTCGAATACTTATCATACTGGTGGGGAGTCCGGTCCACAGCGCGATCGATTTCCAGCGAAAACCGCATTGTAGTTTTTCTTTCTAATTTTTTATAATATTATTTTATCCTAATTTAAAAAAATGATCTTAATATGAGACCGCCAATATAATTTTCTGAAATTTTCAAAAATTCCAAAATCGGACCACAGTAGATCTTAGCATCATTTAACGCGTTTAAAATAATCCAGGCTCGAATCGAAGATCGATTGAGCTCACTGAAACTTCGATCGAACTCTCAATCTTCACGAACGTTCGAGATCGATCGATCTTTGAAACGCTCTATCGGACTCGATGAATCATAACAAAATGATCGGTTGTACTAGATCGAGCGCACATGCTGAATCTTGTATAATTTTATTTTTATTTGAGTTATTTAAATAAGTCAAGAAATGACGAGACAGACACATACACACAACTTTCGGTGAGTTCGAGTTTAGCCGTTAAAAAAAAGCGGTCTCTAATGAAATTCACCAGATGCATGCGGATTTGGAATTGAAAACATCCAATTCCCGATAGTTGTTAATTTTCATCAATACAACATTGAAAAATCCCTTTAAAAAGCTATGAATTCAGAAAATAAAAAAGAAAAAATTTTTCCATTTTGGCTCAATTGAAATTCACTTATATTTTTTCTTTTTCATTTTCTCTGCATTGACCTATAACGGGTTACAAAACACAAATTAACACAGAAAAACATAGTACAAATAACATATTCGTACGCAGGGATTGAACCGCGAATTCGTCTGAACTGCGAATTCACGATTTTATTCCCGAATACCGGACAATGATCGACATGATGATGAATATTAAAATTGGGCAGATATTCATGGATTCCCCGCATTTTTTACATCTTATGAGATTGCATGCCAGGAAGTGAGATCGTTTATTGACAAAAGCGCAAACTAAAATATTCTGAATAAATGTTGTTAAAGATACCACCTACTCTGGTAACTCAAAATCAATCGGAAAAATTCGGCTCCGGAATCAGCCTTATCTGATTCTACGGATAAGATTGTAAAATTGTCGTATCCGATTGGTTTTTTGGGTATTTTTTGAGTTACCAGAGTAAACTCGAAAATTTCCAATAAATGAGAAACACGTTTGAATTATCGCAAAAAAAACGAGCATCACGGTCCACAATTATTTATTAGTTTTTTTCGCGGTGGTACTTATTATGATATGGTTAAAACCAAGAGTGAAAAAAAAATTTTGTTCACTCAAAAAAAAAATTAGTTTTCCAGTTTTCGATGAATCAATTTTTTCGACGATTAAATCAATTGGTTCATCCAAAAAAAACACTCTCTAGAATATTGTATGTAGTAATGCACTTCGCAACTTAAACACTTCCTGTTATGCAATCGGTGGAGAATTGATTGAGGGGGATGAGCTAGTACTCGTAGAAGGAGACAATGGAAGTGGATTGCACGGAAATGGCTTCCAATGATTGGATCGCAAATCAAGTTTCTCGACCTCAGAAATCAGTGACCAGTTGTCACGACATCCACGCACGGCGTAGATCGTTTCACTGGTGGCATGCATTGTGAAGTACTTGCGTTCATGAACAAAAGATGGTTCTTCTCGCCATCCATTTGTTAGCGGATCATAACTTCTTGTAGTGCGAAGCGTGTTGTTCGAATTGCTGCAAAAACATTAAATAATCGAATGCATTAGGATCCTAAGATTTCGGGACAAAACTAAATGTTATAAACATTCAGACCTCCATCCACCTCCGACGTAAATGCGTCCTCTGAAGAAACAGGCTCCAAATCCTGCTCGACTTCCTTGCATTTCTCCAACCTATAATATGGGTAAAAATAAATCGCAATATCTTCATTCATTACAATTTCAAATTGGCGCGTGTTATTGTTGTACTTCTCAATCGCCTCCTCGTATTCTTTTCCATTATATCCACCAAGAACTGCAAGTTTTTTCAAAAACTGCTTAGACCATGTTTTTTTTTGTTACCATATAGTTCTCCGTTGGCAGTTACAACAGCGCAGTCTGCTCGATGCTTTTTGAGATTTGGCCCGTCGACCCATGTATTCGTATCAGGATCATAAATCTGTAATACGTCGTTTCGTTTTATTGAGACGTCGCGGTTATACTTCGACAGAATTCATATAAGCTCCGTTATAGCCTCCGCAAACAAACATCTTCTTATCAAAAAATCCTGCCGATGTTCGTGTTCGTGCATTTTTTAATTTCGCACCCTAAACGTTTCGAATATTCGAGAACGCGCAAAACAAAAATAACTAACGTCTTTTCTCAAATTCTTATCGCGATCGTACACTTCTAAAGCGCTCAACCACGTGCCTGCATTCATTCCACCAACTATGAATATCTGATATTCACTGGTTTAAAAATCACCCAAAAATCATTTCAACCTTATTGCTATATTGAGCAACAGCATAATTCGACTTTGGATTTGGCATTCTTCCAATTGAAGACCATGTATCTGTGGCAGGATCAAGAATTCCGACGAGAAGTGGCTCTCTTACGCTTTGTTTTCTGTCTGAAAAAATTAATTTTATGAAATCCGCTACGAATTTTTTCTAACGTTCGCGTGAATTTTAATTAATTTTTTTAAATTAACTTCTTTCTGATTTTACCATTTAAAAAAATCAATGCAGAGAAAATTTTTTTTTTCAGCATTGAAATTTTCTCAAAATTTTCTTCTCCTTTTTTTAAAACGAAAAAATCATTTAAGAGGAGAAAAATAGAAATTGACGAAAAATATAATGATATAACAATACCGGCAATCAAAACTGGATTCATGTCGGCTATTGTAGGGTTAGATGTCGGATATGATTTTTTATATGATTCGACGAATTGAATTTGGTTACCGACATCGAGAGATATTTTCTGTAATATAATAATTATCGTTAGTTTGAGTAAATTAAAACAAGAAATTTTGAATGAAAAATTACATTTAGACGGTTTATTGTATCCTCAAGTTGTGATGATGTGTATCTGATTTGCTCTACTATTAGCAATGTGTTTTTTTCATGTGCACGAGATTCGGAAGACGGTATTTTATCCCGTAGTTCGTTATGAATATATAGTTTCTGAAAATTCGTCATTTAAACAAAGAACGATGCTTAAAATCAACTTGTTTTGCATTTTCGACTTCAGTCTTTAAATTTTCAAGAAGCGCATCAAACTGCTTCCAAACTTTCTCTATTCGATCTTTTGTCTCGCTTCGCAACAAATTCTCGTACTCCTTTTTCAATAAAGCCAATCCACATATTTTATGTGCGCTGTGAATTCCGTCAAGAGCACAGTCACCACAAATTGCCGTGTTTCGCACCTTTAATTTTTTTATTTATCATTAGGAAAGAAAATAATAACAAATTACCGCTAATAAACCGCTTTCAATAGTATTTACTTCTTCGTTAATTGTGACAACGTCGTTTTTAATCACGAGAATATTTGAATTAACACCACATTGAACACAGATCCGAAGTTTTCGCGTCATTGTGCCGCACTCGCTGCAAGGGCCTTCTTCAAACTTCTAAAAAAACGATTTAAATTTTAACAAGCAATAACCAGGATTACTTCAGATCGCACACCGGAAACAGTATTCGGAGGCGGACCATGTTTTAATAATTCTGAAAAAAAATATTATCTTTGAGATAAAAATGCGCATTCTTACCTAATACTTGGTAGTTTATTGTTAATATTGCAAATGCCTCTTCTCGATTACAATGGGGGCATTTGGATGTTCTAATATTGGCAAATATAATCGCGAAACTATATTTTTTTTAAATTTAAAATTACCTCATTAGACATTTACATGATTCACAAATACTGTGTCCGCAAACTCCAATGCATGGCCTTCTGTCTGTGTCGTCTAAAATCGAATGTTTAAAAACGCGTTATGAAATGGTAAACTTACTATAACCAGATAGACAAATGACACATTCTAGAGAGCTCATTCCCTAAAAATTAAATAAGAATTTCACTGATATTCTTTTTTTATTTCTTAGCAATTTGTTTGATTAAATATAATTCTTTTTTTCGGTAAAAAACCATCATCGTGTTAAAACGTCGGGTAATTTGTTTTAGATTTATTCCATCATAATTTGATTTCACCCAATAAACTTACAGCGATACTATGGTAAAAACATTCAGATCAAAGTGACTCAATAATTAGCAATAAATAAATAGTAGCTACTAGTGTAAAAGCAATACAGCTTCTCGTTAGAGCGCGTTTGCAGCGTATTCGTAATTTATTTCTAATTCTGGAAAAAGAGGTTCAGAATCGATCACTACCAGACACAATAAAAAAAGACATACGCCTTTAATTATCGTATCCAAAAAATATTTATAAATTAGAAAACTCTCTATTGCTAATGCACCAATGATTTCGGTGGTTCATCGCAATAGAATTCTCAGGTAAATCGAATAAAATAAATTGAGATTCATTGAGAAACTAACGTGTCTCTATGTATAATATTTTAGAATTTTCTCAATCAACTTTAGAAATTATTATAAGATTTTAGAATTTATTAAGATAATTTAGAATTTGCTCAATAAATTTTCGGAAATGTTATAAGACTAAAATACTTTTTAAAATCTTATAAGATTTTCTAAAATTTATTGAGCAAATTCTAAATTATCTCAATAAATTCTAAAATCTTATATTATGTTCTAAAGTTGATTGAGAAAAATCTAAATTATTATAGAGATACTTTAGTTTCTCAATGAATCTCAAAATATTTTATTCGATTTACCTGAGTGCCTCGAGAATCTCAAGCCTTTTTGGACAGGGCCGATAATAATCAACAGACTCATGAAAATATGTGGGACGTATAATTATGATGCGGACTGTATACAGAAACGCTTTGAAAATGAATGCTTCGAATCATTGCTCAAATTGATAGCAGACTCATTGCTAATTTCTAATAATGGGCAAATTTATATATACATATTTCGAATTGCTAAGAATATGCTTCATCGAGAAGAATTTTATCGGAAATTTGACGATATTTCAATAGTGCCACATTTCTTACTGAAATATCTACATATTGTTTTAATTGCCCGACCAGAAATGGTCTCGAGACGAATGAGACGCGCGGACAATGCACCGCTTATATCCCTGGACGTACATCTACACCAGGGCTGTGCGGCAATGGAATTGCCGATTGCCGAAATTGCCGAAATTGCCGATTTTTCAAATTGCCGGATTGCCGAAATTTTGGTTTTTGGCAATTTGATATCAAAAAAAAATCGGCGAAACAAAAATCAATGTCCATTGAATAATTTGGGATACCGTGAAAATTCGGTATTTATATTTCGAATTATCGTTGAAAACATTTAATAGCCGATAATTTTGATTTTCGGCAAATTGCCGAATTGCCGAAATTTTCGATTGCCGCACAGCCCTAATCTACACTCATGTTGCGAGACCTAACTTTACAGTGAACCGCACTACTTCACAGTAGATCAAATCAATGATGATTACAAGACCATGCCGCCAAAATTTCAATCATACCTCTAAATAGCCCTGAACTAAATATATATATATATGTATGTATATATATATATACGTCGCTTGATTGGTACGCGATTCTTTTTGCGTTTGGAATTTTCTTCTTTTTCTTTAATTCGATGTTCTGCTGATCTGATAGAATCGTCTCTATCGTAAAATATGATATATTCAGTCTTGTAGTTGCTTTTTTGCCGCATGCAACTTATTCCTGAAAAATTTAATTGATTAAAAAATTCTGTTAAAGCAAATACTTTCAAGGTCGCAATTGTTTTGTCAGTCCAATTGTGGTGGTTTTGGAACCAGCGCACTTTCTTTGGATACTTTATATAACTAATTTTGATTTTTTCTGAAAAAAAAATAGTGAAAAAAATATATAAATGTGAGTATGTAGAGAAAAAGGAAAAACAAACTTAAAATGTCGAAAAAAAATTAGGCTTATATAAAAACGAGATGTAAAATTGATAATTTTTTCACTTTTGCTCAACAGTAACAACTCTTTGAGGAGTTTCTCAAATTCCAAAATCGCCGAATTAATGTGAAAATTTGAGTTGATTTTCGATACCTCCCACCAAGAATGAATTAATTTACCAAGCAATGCTAGCCGTTTGCGCTATACGATTGCGCTCAAAATGAGATTTTTTTTTACCTTGAATTCAGTTTTGAATTAATAAATTCAAATTTTTCAAAAATAGGAATGCGAAAAAATCTCGTTCTCACAAATAATGATTTGAAATTTGGATATTGCACATCTGTTTTTGGAAAAATAAATAGGAAATTGGCAATACATTAATAAAATATTCGCGAGACTCACATCATGTATGCAAAAAATAAAACAATTTTAAGACGGGAGACCTCCCTTGTCAGTTTTGCGCATTTGCGTAATTGGCGGCAAAATTTAGAAGAATTTTGGCTATTGATTTTTTGATGATGAAGTGATGTTGCGAGACGATGATTCCTGTTATCAAAGAATCCTCTCAGTTTCTCGCAATATCTCGTTTGTCTCAATCGACGCCAGCGAGAGGACGTCTTCGATTTTTTTTGCAAATGCGAATTTCTTACGTGAAATTTCAACTATTCTATATATTATCGAGCTCATTAATATTTGGCAAATGTATGTGAGATCAAGCATATTCACAAATCGATATTTGATGATTAGCAGAAGATTTTCAAAGCGATGACAGTGGCGGAGTGGAAATCGTCGAGATTCGGAATGATGCGATTCGTATTCGATGGAATTTCAAGGATGATGATTTCGGAATAATGTCGGCTAGAAACGCGACAATTACCAAACAAAGGCTTGTTGTTACGGTCATGAGAAGTATGCATTTGGATTCAAAAAAATTAGTTCAAAAATGAAATGTTTAAGGCTCTCAGCAAACGGAAAAATCGTCACAAGCAATTATAGTTGAGCCGCATATACGCGAATACGTTTTTCTCGATCTCGCCGGAAACACTACATATCGTTGTTCAGTGGAAGCATTTCAAGTATTTAAAATATTCTACTAATTCGTGGGTTGTCACTTAAAACACAAACCAAATTGAAACAGAAACGCTTTGAAAAGGAATGTTTCGAATCATTGCTCAAATTGACTGTAGACTCATTGCTAATTTCTAATAATGGTCAAATTTATATATGCATATTTCGAATTGCTAAGAATATGCTTCATCGAGAAGAATTTTATCGGAAATTTGACGATATTGCAATAGTGTCACATTTCTTACTGAATTGTGTCTTCTTCATTAGCGGAAACAAATTGCTCCTCAAGTTTTTTTTTTCAGAATGATACAAGTCTTTGGTACGCAAGCAATATGGCAACGACTAGTTTAGCATGTAAGCATAGACTTCCGACGACTGCTCTGGTAACTCAAAACCAATCGGATCCGACAAAATTCGGCTCCGAAATTAACCTTATCCGATTGGTAATTCTATGGATAAGATTGTAAAATTGTCGTATCCGATTGGTTTTTTGGGTATTTTCGTATCCGATTGGTAATTTGTCGTATCCGATTAGATTTTCTTCGAATCCGTCTTGTTTTAATATTTCAATTAGAATCGGATTCGACAAAAAACCAATATTATCCGTAGAATTACCAATCGGATACGACAATTTTCCAATCTAGAATTTCCAATCGGATAAGGTTAATTCTAGAGCCGAATTTTGTCGAATCCGATTGGTTTTGAGTTACCAGAGATATGGGGCTACATTTACTATAGCTGTGGTCTCGCACGGACTAACTGGCTCCGATTAAATTCATTTTGATATTTCATTTTTAGAATTGCGAAGAATTTACAAATTAACGAAAAAAATGAACAGCTCACGTGAAATTACAAGATAAGCGTGACGAGACCATTACGAAAAAGGAGCCCGTAAATCGACACACCATACATTAACCACCGGGCTCCGAATGTGTAATAGTCAAAATTTGAGCAATTCGTTCCAAGTTCTTTGGATCAAACTGTTCAAAAATAAATGTTTAACGTTTGTAGACAGATAAGAATTCGCAACAACAGCTGTCTTTTTTTTCGCTTTATATATTTTTTATCAGCAGTCTGAAGTGTTTTGCTTAACCTGAGCAATCGAGCTGATAAAACGTTGTATTACGAGACTAATTAGTGTAGCAACGATTCGCAAATATTGCAAAAACTCGAAATTAGGAATGAAAGAAATGCAATCAGTGAACAATAAATTGATGCTAATTTTCTCAATTCATATTAGCACTAAGTTGGCTTCCTGCTCCAACTGATTTGACTTTGAATGATCGCAAGAGCAATTCGCTCGAAATTTCATGGATTCCGCCGGTTGTTTTAGAAGCAGGCCATCATTTGGTAATCACACAACATGTGGTAGATCGCATTTAATATGTGCCAGTTAAACCATTGTTTATTTTAGGTGAACATTTACGATCTACTTGGAGATGTTTCTACGAAACGATCTATCACAGTACCGATTCCAATTACTCGATTGACAATTGACAATCTTAAACCAGCATCGGCATATAACGTGACTGTTCAGGTAAAAATGATTTTCCTAAAGGCATAAATTGCAATTATTACAATCGCAAAAAAACGAGAATATTGAACAATTGCACAATTGTGGACCATCGTATTTTTTCCGAGGGTGGCAATTCAAAAGTTTGCTCGTTTTTTTTGTTATTGCAATATATTGTTATCAGAGACAGACCAATTTCCGGGTGGTGATTGTTGCTCTACAATATTTGCTTTCCCAAAATGAAGTCTCAAAAAAAATGCATTACAAATCATACAAAAATTTTTCCATCACGAAAAAAGTGTATGTATCATGTTTTACTGATGTCTGGTTTTTCCGAAGATGATATCCATCAGAGTAAAGCGAATCAATCACTAAAATCGATATTCAATTTACCTTAGACTACAATTGCTTAGGCTGGGACGAGTTATGGCTACGGAAAACTCATTTGGTGTGCTTTTGCGACTCTTGACAATCATGGCTCCAACATTCTCAAACTTCGTGCTCGAACTCCCAACTCTCTAACATTGTACTGGCCTGCAAATTGGCTTCCAACGGCCAATTCGAAATTTACAGTTTCGTCTTTTTATTTCGTTATGGTATTGAGTTAATGTTCGAATAATTGAAGATAAAAGCGCGAACGATACATTCGCCTAGTGGAATATTTAAAGAAATCGAGAACTCTGCGGTTGTCGAGCCGGGAAAACCCAACGAATTTGTGATTGATAACTTAATACCATCGAGCACTTATAACATCAGTATAACGACACTCGAAGAACGGCCAAAAAATGAGAAAAAGTGGACGACGATGAAATACAAATTTGGATGGGCGGTGTTTTCAACGATGTCACAGGTACGAATGTGAACAAGCAACCACGCTGATGGTAGCTTGAAATTTTCAGGGGCATTATAGTGTTGGAGAAGCTCGAATTGTTGTCGAAACTGATCACGCAGTTTCCATTGTTTTTCAACCTTTGCGATTGCCGAATAAAGAGATATCGTACCAGGTAGAATTTGATATGATAATAGGAGCCAATTAGTCGCTCTAGATCAAATACACGTTGAAAGACAAGAATGAGACAAGTTTCACTGAGGAGTTGGACGATCAAAAATTGAGGTTGTACAATTTAAACAAATCCATTTATCCGACGCGTCAATGGACGGGCCAAAAGACCGACGTTTGATCTGTCTACGATCATTTATTACACTTCTTTTACGAAGGGAAATCGACAAGAGCAATCGACAATTTTGCAGATGCCCAAAATTCGAATGCCAGTGGAAATGCGCGCTTATTTTTAATCTACCCCATCGATCACGGGAATACAAGTTTGAGGTACTAATTATTGATGGAACCAGAGAGAAGATAAAAATTGGCATGTTTTGGTCTCATGGTTTGAATATAAATATTTACGTTTTCAAACAGGACAGTTGGTTTGATAAGATTCTTCGAGAAAATTCAAACTAAATTATTAATTTCGAAGAATTAATGTATTGATATATTTTTAAATGTATATAGATTCGAGCAAAAGTGGATAATATTTGGAATCGTTGGTCTCCAGTGGTCATACGGTAATATCGACCTTTTGTCTTTTTTCAAAAAATATCTCACCTGTATTATTTTGGGCAATGGAATTTACTGGAGCGCGTTTGTTCCATTAACCCGCCAAGTGAATTCGTATCAAATATGGGCGATTTGACGTATCAGCGAGACATTGATGTCAAATCCGCGTTAGTTCCGACCCCTACAGATGTTTGGTATAAAGCAAAAAAAAAATTGAGTTTGTCAATCGTATTTTGGTGACAGGAGATACATGATTGTTGTGGATAGTAGACCGTATGACTTAGCTCCAATTGACATCACCAAATTAGCCGATCGAACCACTTCGGAAGCCGATCACGTGCCTTATTATATCACGGCGGCGCTTACTCCCGAAGAAGTTCGAAGTATCGACGATTTTCGGTATACAAATTGTCGAAAATAATAAGCGCATTTTAGAATTTTAGAATTGGCGACGGAAAAGTGTATGGCGGCTATGTGAATTATCCATTAAAAACTCGAAAGGATCCAAGATGGACATTAATTCCTCTCTCACAAAGCGAGAATGAAATGATAGAACCTGGACTGAAAACGTGCGGATTTGATGAGAAAGGTTGGTATGAATTCTTGGGAAGCACAAATTTCCCTAATTGGAGTCTTGACCCGAAAAGTCGTCTAGAGTTTACGTAGACTTTCAGGAGAATCTATTTGGTAACTGCTGAAAGTCTATGTAAATCCTATACGACTGAAAGAGGTTCAATTTACCAACGTACATCATCCGCTTGACCTCGACAAAGCATATTTCGAATTGAAATTTTAGGAACGTTTAAATGTGATATGGGATTGGGAGAAGTGATGTCACATCTTCCGATGGGATTCATATCGGCGGGATTTGTTCTACTGATTTTCGTCGTTTTTCTATTGTGTCTGACTGTTTTTTGCTTCATTCGAAAAGCATGCGGTAAGAATTTGGAAAAAGAAAGACTGTAAAATCGAAAAAGTGAAAAATCAATTGTTAGGTTATAAATTTTACAAATAATCAACGCAAATTTAGATTGTTCAATAGAATACTTAAAAAATGCGATGATGATTTGCGGTTTTTAGATAAGAAATTGATAACGAATGTCTGACATGGAATAGTTAAAACAGTCTGAATCAATTTTGTAATATTTCGAAAGAGGCAACAAACAAAATTAGAAATCACAAATGGGCCCCAGACGATGATTTCACCCATTTTATATTGTTGGAACGCATGACATTTCACTTGTGTGTTTTGAAATACGGTTATTTGCTAATAGCAATACAGCGTGCGATGACTTACGAGGTGCGCCTTTCGAAATCGTCTCGCCACGCTTCTTTTGCCGTTTTCACGTAAACGGTTAATTTCTCCTTGATGAGTTTGGCATTTCCTCGAATTCTAGCGCAACTCATATTAACAATTATCGAACCGACTACTAAAATGCATAATCACTTGTTAGTCCGCGCGGGACCAAGAGAAAGACGCATCCCCGTAAATCTACCCGCGTACAGCAGTCGCAACACATGCCTTCAATATTTTATTAATATTATGCAATATTAAAAATCCAACAGCTTCTAAAATACAATTGTTGAAGAGAAACCTCCGGGAACCAAGGAAACAACTTTAATGTACTATCGCAATGATTCTCCAAATACTCTTTCGACTTGTCAGGAATATCGAAAAGTATTTACACCAGCTCCTCTTGATGGTTTACTCACATTTTTTCAGGTTGAAACAAGGGAATTCAGTGCGGCTGATATGGAGCAACGAATGCATTTCCTGAATCAAAACTAATTGAGCTAGATATTGATAATTTGCAATCAAATAATTAAAAAAAGAAACAATCGATAATAATAGTTTTCATTATATTTGTTAAGGCAGTTTTTCATTGCGAAACGTCTGAAAAATGTTTTATCACAAATGACGTCAAAAAGACATTTTGTTGAGTATGAAGGTATTGCTGAAAAATGACAAATGTATCCAGGTGTCGTAGGATCCTGCGTTTTGTAAGCAATGCTAAGAGACAGTTATCGTAATCCTCGTAGCGATTTACGGGCTTTTTTTTAATTCCGCATGTTCATTTTTTTCGCTCAATTTTCGTATTTTCCTTTGAAATTTTGTTATTTAAATTTTGCAGAAACCGAGTTTAATAATTTATTTAGCAAAATAAACACTTTTAAACGATATTTTTTGGTAAAAACAGCAGAGATTAAAAAGAAAACATTTTTGTCGTTAGTAAAATTATTTATTCGTGTTTTGCTTTTTGTACGCGTTTCTATTATCTTGTTTTTGTATTCTTCATTTTCAAAATAATTTTTAGAGCGATAAAATCTTCACGAAAATTCCCAACTCAACTGGACAAATGGAAAAATGCATATTCTGAAATATAAACAATTAAACTCGGTTTCTACAGGTTTTAAATAAAAAATTTCTAAAAAAAAATAGAAAATACAGCAAAAAATTGAAAGAAAATTTATTTAAAAAAACTCCGTAAATCGCTGCGAGGGTTACGGTAACTGGCTCATCGCATTGCGTACAAAACGCAGGATCCCACGACACCTGGATACATTTGTCATTTCTCAACAATATGGAATTTGCGAATTTTCCATCCGATTAATTTTTTCGCACAGCTTAAAGTATTAAAATTTATTTATAGTCGGCGTTCGGCGACTTCTGTACGCCCATGCGCCTTGAAAAGATCTCGCCACGCGTGAATGCTTTTTTTTCTGTTTTCACGTGAACTGCTTCATTTTTCTTTATGAGTTTGGCATTCTTGGAATTTCTAAGGTGGTTCGATTTAAAAATTATCGAACCGGTCCATAAAATTTGAAATAACCTGTTAGCCTTGCGAGACCATTTCGAAAGACGCATTCCCGTAAATCTACCCGCGTACAGCAGTCGCCGGACGCCAACTATAATTTTTAATGACGATATCAATTTTCATCCATGTTCTTATTCAGACCAAACCGTCTTACGAATACCACCCGGCCCCCTTATGTAGGAAAGAATGAAACATTTTTATATTTAAAGAAATTAGATAAAAATCAAGAAAATTTTTCAATTTTCTTTTCAAAACCAAGAGAAAAATGATAAATTTAAATGAGTACTCAATTCCGCAAACACCACAAATTTTGAAGGCAATTCAAACGCTTTTCTCAATTTTTGGAAATTTTCGAGTTTTGTTGGTATCTTCAGTGTACTCTTTTTGATGTCTGAACATTGAAAATTGTAAATGAAAACTGGTGTCGAGATTCGAAATATCTTATTAGCAATACTCACATCCGATTTCTTAGCAACATTTATTGTTGATTCAGGCGGATGTATTCTTATCAGTTTTTCGATGAACCTATCGTGTTCATGGTGTAGTTTTCTTCCATTAGCAATGACCAAGTTTAATAGTTGCACGACGCCGACAATACGCTAAATTCGTATGACTACAGGAAATTGGCTACGACAAAAAAATGAATGAGGGATTGGACCTTGGAGCGCGGAAATGCGCCGCAAAGGAGAGGATTGTCTCTAGTTTGCCAAAAATTAGCCATAGAGTCCACTCTGGAGCTCATTTTAAGATGGCACTCGAGTACGCGGAAAGGTCTTCGCTTCAAGACCATTCCCACATTCATTTGGCAATTATTCAACTTTCTCATTATATTCATTTTGCATTTTTTCCATTAGCTATGAAAAACCATTTATTATTGTATTCTGACAAATTTAATAGAAAAATTAAAAAAAAACACGTAAACCAACGTCCCACCTCTCAGTTTGTTCTCATTTAGCCGATTTTCTGTAGTCATACGAATTTAGCGTATTGTCGGCGTCGTGCAACTATTCAACTTGGTCATTGCTAATGGAAGAAAACTACACCATAAAAACGGTAGGTTAATCGAAAAACTGATATGACATCCGACTGAATCAACGATAAATGTTGCTAAGAAATCGGATGTGAGTATTGCTAATAAGATATTTCGAATCGACAACAGTTTTCATTTACTACAGTGCTCCACATAGCTATTACCCACCCCAATTTTGTCGAGTAACGCGAATACCTCCAGAAATGGTTTCAGTCAGAAAAACATGTTATTTTTTGTTGAATTTTGTGAATGTAACATGAAACTAATAATAAATGCGCATATTTTTCTAATTGAAACCATTTTTGGAGGTATTCGCGTTTTCGAGTTATTCGACAAAATTAGGGTGGGTATATAGTTTTGTGGAGCACTAACTTTCAATGTGGACTTCAAAAAGAATGCACTAAAGATACATTCTAAAGAAATATTCATGTAATAAAAAGGTTTTTGAAAAATACAAATATTGATAAAGGAGAAAAATTCATCCTGTCCAGTCCACATCACAGTCCGATTCTGTCCAGTCCACATCACAGTCCTAATATTCAAAAATTGTTTGCATGAAATTATGAGTTAATAGAACCTGAATGTGCCCGAAAATATCACGCATCGCCACAATGCCGCAACGACCTCCTGATGCAGGGGATGCTGGTCGTCCTTTGTCATCGTTCGTGTGTGGTACTTGTTCTGCCTCTACTTGCATTCCTATCAGTTTCCCGTTTTCATCCCAACAGCTGCCACCGCTATCTCCTTTGAATGAGCCGCTTGATCCCATATATCGCAATTTTCGAGTCGCATTACTAACGATAATTCCAGTTGAAAGCGACTGATGGCTTGTATTTTCATGAAGAATCGAATTTCCCATCTAAGTAAGTGCATTTTTAGAAAACATTTAGTGAAAATACTTCAATCGATAAAAAATTATCAGCAGGTATTGCATTCCATTTCGAGGAAAAGTTGCATTAGAAATTAGATCTTTATCACAAAGATCTGCTCCGTCCGATTCCAAGATGATTGTGTCCAGTTCTTCAATGATTTTCACAACACGAGTTGTAACTTTTCGCTGTTCGTCGGACCAAGAACGTATTACAATTTCATCTCCTAGACATAGCCAATTGAATGAAATAAACTCATAACTAACAAACCAATTTTTGTTATCTCCGTGAGGAAAAGTTGCCGCAAGTCTTGGAGTCAACGGAATAGCACTTCTCTTATAATTGTCCTTCTTTACATTGTAGTAGAGAGCGTATCATCCAATCGAAGCAGGCAAATCACCATCAACAAGGATTTCTTGAGATTCTGGATCGATTTTCAGTTTCTTCAACGCCTAGAATTGATAAATTATAAATATTTAAAATAAATCTTGAAATGTTGAAAAATCGATAAAGAGCTTAGGCAAATCAAATAAAATATTTTGAGAATCAATTATTCAATAATAAACTCTAAAATATTGTTGAAAAATGACAAATGTATCCAGGTGTCGTAGGATCCTGCGTTTTGTACGCAATGCTAAGAGACAGTTACCGTAATCCTCGCAGCGATTTACGGGGAATTTTTTTTTTAATTTCGCATATTCATTTTTTTATTTTTCGCTCAATTTTGGTATTTTCCTTCGAAATTTTGTTTAAAAAAATGTTGAAGAAACCGATTTTAATAATTTATTTAGCAGAATAAGCACTTTTAAAGGATTTTTTTTGGTAAAAACAGCAGAGATTTAAAAGAAATCATTTTTGTCGTTAATAAAATTATTTAATCGTGTTTTGCTTTTTATGTACGCGATTCTATTATCTTGTTTTTGTATTCTTCATTTTCAAAATAATTTTTAGGGCGTCAAAATATTCACAATAATTCCCAACGCAACTAGACAAATGGAAAAGTGCATATTCTGAAAAATAAATAATTAAACTCGGTTTCTAAAGGTTTTAAATATAAGATTTCTAAAGAAAATAAAAAAATTCAGCAAAAAAAATTGAGAGAAAATAAAAAAACTCCGTAAATCGCTGCGAGGATTACGGTAACTGTCTCGTAGCATTGCGTACAAAACGCAGGATCCTACGACACCTGGATACATTTGTCATTTCTCAACAATATTTTGAGAAATCTAAAGGATTTCCTAAAATTTATTGAGCAAATTCTATATTATCTCAATAAAAAAATCTTATAATAAGCTTTTTTTTCTAAAATATTATAATAACTTCTAAAGTTGATTGAGAAAATCTAAAATATTAAATTTATAATGTACAGTACCGCAGAAAAAGATACGAAAAAATTAATTTTCTTCATAACTTTTGAACGAGTGGTCCAATTGGGGTGAAATTTTTAGCACTTATTTTTCATACATTTGAATGTTTAAAAGCACGTTCATATTATGGAAATTAATATTTTTCAAGTACAAATCGCAAAAAATCGAATTTTCAAAAAATCATGAAAATCGGTGAATAATTTCAAATGGCTGTAGAAACAAAATTAGATCGTCAAACCCCAAATAACTTTTTTTCAAGGTTTAATAGACCTAATACTTAGTCGCCATACCATTTGCTTCAATAAAAGCATAATATCTTTCAGGCATGAAAGGTACTAAGTGGTTTAGGGTAGCAGCCGGCAGAGCATGTCAAGCTTGCTCTAATTGTGAGAATTTTTCACTACAATTTTGAACAGTTTTTCCATTTAAACAACATTCGAACCCTTCTCAACAGTGTTTGATATGATTTGGGTCGGGAGATTGGCTCGGCCAGGTCATGGAGTTCACCCGAAGCTGCGCGATCCAATTCCTGACCAAGTGTGATATGCGTTTTGGATCGTTGTCCTGTTGAAAAATCCAACCAGGCCCAAGTTTCGAACGTCCAATTGGTAGCATATGGTCCTCTCTGATGTATTTGTACAAATTCTTGTTCATGATACCTTCTATTCTGCGCAGAGGACCAACGCTGATAGAAGAAAAACATTCCCATACTAGTACAGTTCCAGCCCAATGCTTCACAGGTGGAACATGGTACTAGGGATGAAATATTTTTCCTGATCGATGTTGTACATGAGTTTTACCACCAGTTACAACCATCATATACTTTGATTCGTCACTTCATAGGATGTTGGACCACTGTTACATTGTCCAGCTGAGATGATCCTTTACTCATTGCAATCGTCCCTTCTTAATTAGGCCGGGATTATTGGATTTTTCACCGGACGACGACCAAACAATCCAACATGGCGGAGACAACTTCTAACAGTCTCACTGCAAAACTATATCGGTTGTATCTTTCCAATTAACGAAAAAAGTGGTCACAACTTTATAATGCTGCATAAGTCATTTGGTGATGTCGGTACTTGCCAGCCTCCGATTTTTTCTGCTCATCCTAATAATGGCACAACCAATAGCTGGAGATGTTTTGGTGGTCTTCCTATTGGTTTTGATCGGTTTTGAGTATTATTTGAAGCCAAGCTGATCGAAATACTCGTTGCGAACCGTTTGGCCAGATCGAAAATCGACACCCCACATTCTCGGCCTCTATTAATCGCAATGCAACCAGCTTTAGATAATGTCTTAGACCCTTTTGGTAGACTCATCGTTAAAAATAACCAATATGATCACAAAGTATTGAAAACTAAAAAATATATTGAAAACATATAGGAAAACTAAAATTTATCGATTTTTTCATTTTTGCAGATTTCAAAAAAATGTCCGCTAGCACGTATTTTTGCGAACTAGTGTAATTCACTTTACAATTTGTTTTAAAATTGTGTTTTTTACTTTCAGTAAAAATTTCACACCGTTCGGACAACTCGTTCAAAAGTTATGAAGAAAATTAATTATTTCGTATCTTTTTCTGCGGTACTGTATATAAAATTGATAGAAGAGATTTAAAATCTTAATAATCAAATGGGAATCATAAGAAAAAAAGAGAAGAATATATTCTTCTAGATATATCTACTCTAAACAACTCTGGTAATTCAAAATCAATCGGTTTCGACAAAATTCGGCTCTGGAACTAATCTTATCCGATTGGGATTTTACAGATAAGTATGGAAAATTGTCGGATCCGATTTTTTTATTGGCCAAAGTAATAACTGTTTACTTCGAGTCGATGGCAGGTCGACCCGAAAATTTGCAAGTATGATTCAAGGCAAATACAAGCTACTCGAATTTTTGGCTAACTTTGTGCACCGAAAAAATCAAGAAAAAACTGTCCTAAAAATTATTCTGCTGAGGCTTTTGTTTTTCAAAGTAAACAGTTGCTTCATATTCAATATTATTCTCGTATTTTCGGAACATTCAATGGAGATATTAAAAACGGTTGGTGTGTGAAAAAAAAACAAGCCACAATTTCGTAATAAAAAATAAAAACAAAACACTCTAGTAGTTTAGCTAATTCCCGGAAAATTGTCTTCGAAGAGCACACACTGGTTTTATTTTTTTTTTTTCACAACTGCAGTGTCGATTTACAGACATCCAATCCAAGAATATGCTCTTTTTTTGGAGATTTTTTCCGTTCCAGAATTCCGAAAATCCAGAAACCTATGGCATTGGAACAAAACACAAAAAAATGAACGTAACCCTAATATTTAGATATTTTCCCCATGTACCTTCAAAATCAACAGCTACCTATGGTAGTATAACTCCCCGATTTCCCGGAAAATTACGGCATATTCCAGCAGCGTACGTCCAACAGACGGAACACGTTTTAAAGATTTGCAAATGAGGCCCGTTTTCGAAAAAAGACCTACCTGTTTGTAGAGGAGATTCAAAAAATAAAATCAGAATAAAAATAAAGAACAAAAACAAAACGAAATAGAGCAAGTAAATATCGAAATTCCAGTTTGGCATTTCGCACTGATTCAAGTTTTAAAGACTGTTGATGAGCTTCGGCTTTTTCAAGCTGGACAATTGAGTTGAGCAACGTGGAACATGTTCTAGAAATACTGAAATTAGAAAACAACAATGTTTGATAAGAATAATCCTAATTGTCGCTACTTTCAACAATTTATTTTACTAAAATTTGCTTTAAATATAAATAAAATACATTGCATAAAATCAAAGCTATTTTTTAACAAATCATCTTCTAGAGGAATTTCGCCAAAAAAAAACAAAAATCATTACTTGGGGTATTACAACGACCTTGCCGAAATTGAAAAAAAAACTTGTTCATTAAAAACTACGGATTTTAATCACTCTAGATTTAGGTTGTTTGTTTTTTTAGTAAAATAAAAAATCAGTTTAATTAATGCTTTGTACTGTCATACACTGTAGAGAACAAATTAGACTTATGCCATTTTCAGACGTACACTTACGTGGAAGAAAGTATGACCTTACGCACAACTCTGATATAAAGGATTTTATCAAAAATTAAATATGACGAATCGAACAATTTCGTACGTCGTCAATCGCATACGTTAAATTATATTTGGTACCAATTTGAACGGGTTTTGCTGATATTTTTAAAAGGTTTTTCGTTTTTCAATACATACGTAACTTTTTTGCATCTATTAGAATATTAAAAACTACTAACCTTTTACAATAGAAAATCCTTCTGACTCGTAGAATCCCTCTTCTTACGGGGGTATCCACAATCACAAAATCTTGTGAGCCAAATTGCGATTCATCTCGATGATCTGAAATTAAATCTGCTATATCAAACATAACATCAGAAATCGGAAATAAAACGGAACAATTGATTAAGTGGCAAAATTAATTTTATTGTAAATTAGCCAGGTTTTTATTGACCAATATTTACAATAAATATTTAAATTTACATTTTTTGGCGGAAAAAGCAAAAATAACACAAAAAATGCATTTCTTCCAATTCGAGAATAGGTGCATAACATTTAAAAATTCTAATACGCGTTTAAAATCTACGCTGGGACGTCTCGAGCGGACTTATCGCCGATTTACTTACGCAATAGAAAAACAGCGAAGGATAACGCGCTGTGTTAGAAGTTGATTGGAGCTGTTCTCAAATCCTTTTGCTGGCCCTTCGACACTTTTTCGCATAGCAAGCGGCTCCATATTACTCGATTGAACAAGGTTATTTTGTGAGGCAGACGATTAAGCAATTTAAACAATTTCTGAAATTAAAACGATTATTTATATCAACAAATCAGAGATAAACAGTACTACAAGTGACTCGAGTTTCTTTTGACTTTCAACACGTCGGAAGCGAATCTCATTGAACAAAAATTGGTAGCTTTCTAGAAATATCCAATTTTAAAAAGTTCAAAAGGTTTCATCAAACCGATTTCCGATAAGAGCGTGGCATCCAGGATTCAAGGGCATTCAGAGAATTTCGCGCCAAAGCGCCCCAGCTCAAAAGAGCTGTTGTGAGACAACAACCGACAGTCTACCCCTAACTAAATTAAGCATTCATTGCTGGCGGGTTAGAGCCTCCGAGCCCCTGGACGTTGGCTCCCCCGCCTGGATAGTTGTGAGCCTCCAATCACGCAGCAGCTTTTTGCGAAATTTCTTTGCCCTCGAAACCCAGAGCCAATTGAGCGACTGTCTAATTGAGCAAAATCTGAAATCATATAATATAAATGTTGAATAAGACGATTAAAAACTTTTACGGTAAAATTGAGACAACCGTAGCGCAGTGTTGACTAGTCTCTTGTGGTCCTGATTGTTGTCGCACGGGTTGCCATGAAAATTGCAAAATTAATTATTGTTTAAGTAATTAGGTTTTAATGGTGCAATTATATAATTTGATTCCATATCTTGTGAAAATTTGGTCGTCTCCTCAACAAAATATCCCGGTGCTACTCCACCGTGTGCGCCTAGACTCCCCAGGCATTTCCCTCCTGGGTCGGACCCTATGGGTCACCGAAGCGGGACGTTGGTCCGCATCTCGTAGCACGAGAAAGCGGCGTCCGTGCGGGCTCTCTCAAATCCGAATCAGCGAATGTTCTCGAGACACGCTCACAGCGGTCCAAGAAATTCGTTGAGGAGACAAAACAAAAACGTAACTATCAAAACAATGCTTCAATCTCAATAATATTTGTATAATGAAATCAAAAATATTAAGATTCAAAGCATGACTTACAGCATTCAGAAGCAACTAACTCTCGGCAATTTCGGAGAAACCAAAAGTTGTTATTGTTGTGACCAAGGATTGTTCAAATATCATATATATATATATATATATTTTTTCTGCAATTATAATAAATTTCAAATTAATCTAGTATTACAAATTAATACAGTATTATTCCAAATTATGCCAAATAAAATAAATTCAAATAGTCCAAAATTTTCAACAAAATTAAAGATAAACTGAAAATGAATGACAAGCTTGTTCTCGCAAGAACGTGGCAATTGAAAACGTGGAATATTTGAGATTACTGTAGAACAAAATCTGCATACAACGAAATTGACGAGATAAGAACATTTTTTAAATGTTAATCAATATTATCGATTCTGCTTAATCCATAGGGTTTAATTCAATATTATTTTTTGAACAAATTTTGTTTAAACTACTTACAATTTTCTGTCTGATTCATTTGCATTGTATTCCGTTGTTTTTTCGGATCTGCTTAGCGAAAAGGCGATCACACGGACAATAAAAACGTCATGACCAGAATTTGAGAAATGGAAAATGATGGGAAATTGGTAAATATGGAGCACGTTTGATTTAAAATGATAATTATTTTTAATGCAAAAAATGTTATTCATGCAATTAAAAATGTTAAAAAAAATAGATTTTTCCAATGCAGGGCTGTAAAAAATGCAAATTTGTTTTTTTTTAATCCGACAAAATTCGGCTCCGGATTGGTTAGTTGAATCCGTTTTGTTTTAATTTTTTCAAAGTATCTGAATAGAACCTCTGCGTTTGTGCGTCAGGTTCATCACTTTGAATCAGAAGTCGATTTTTTTCTTTAGCGAAATCATTTCAGATCGTTGTTTCAAATTTTTCACTATTCAAATGTCGGCCATCATTTCATTTTTTTACGCGCGGCCATGTAAAATTGTGCTCAAAAAATAGGTTCGGCCACGGCCACACTTGATGGATTATCTCGGTAAATCACAGCGGACGCTCAGAGGACGACAAGCAGCGTCCTCTCGGTTACCGTCATACGTCCGCGCGGCGTCCGCGAATTTTCGATCATCGGCGTTCGCTCTGACTCTGCTGCTCGTCCGTTACAACGTCCGCGCGGCGTCCGTCAATTTTTTCCATAGAAAGCCGTCCTCGCGGCGTCCGCTGTGATTTACCGAATTAATTAATTTAATTAAGTAGAACTGAATGAATACGTATATATTTTGTGTTTTTACAATTTCAAAAACTTGATATCAAAATAAAAGTCACAACTTTGTAGAAATAAAACGCGACAAAGCATTACGCATAATTTTTGAAAATTAGCCCGTGATAGTGTGTCGCACTTGCAGTTTTGATTTTTGAAAGTGTCGACCAATTTTTCTAGGCCGTACTTGGGTTACGGCGAAACGTGTGGCGATAGGACGACGTTGCAAATTCCTCGTTGTTCGGATATGCAAATGAATAATTAAATAGATAAGATTTCAAAAAATATATTTCGTGCATTATTCTACAAAAATTTGCGAGCTATGCTCAACTAAAAATACGCAAACACACATAACATTTTGACGGACAAATTGAACTGAGCGAATAAACATTTCTTTTCAAAAGAAACCACAAAATTCTATTGCGACAAGTTCGATATGAGATCTGAATACAAACTGACAACAATTGCATTCCTTTTCGGTGGCTTTACATATAATAATTATTTCGAAAAATATTTGGTATTGAGACTCTTTGAGAAACAATATGAATCAAATATTTGATTTGGAATACCCGCGTTGAAGTCGATGAGCAACGATTTTTGTTTTATGGTTGGGTGGAAGAATTGTTTGGTGTTGAGATGAGGTGGTGTCAAGATAGATACGAATCGAATAAAATATGAGAAATGGAATACCTAAACGAATTAAACGAAAAAGAAGAAGTGGAGTATTGAACCAGTATGTTGAACAAATTCGAATCGATTTTAGGGGTAATGCACTTGAGACACAAATGGAGATCAATTACGCCGTCGCACGTAGTCTTGATTGATGGTCGGACGTTCAGCTTTGAATTTGCACCGAAGAATTCGCATGTAAGTATGACGAAATCTGAATTATTACTATGTTCTAGAAGCCCATCTATTTAGTTTTTAAGCTCTTTCTGTGAACGTGTCTGGACAACAAGGTCTCGCAGCGGAAAAATTCTGGTGACCACTTTTTTTTGTAAAACAATACATATGTATGGATATTTGCGTTTTATTACATGAAATCTTAAAAACAAATTATATTCATTCACGAAAAATATTATTTGCGGCGTTTTTCTTTGTTACATTTTCAATTTTTTTGCTGTTCGAATATCACGAAATTAAAATAAAACACTCGATTAAAGGCGCATAATGCAAAAAAATGAAAAGGGTTTTGTCGCGACTGATTCTGTTAGCCAAACCAACTATAAAATCTCCAAAAAGTAATGATCATCCTGGGTGTTTGCGGACCATTGTCATCCTCTCGACGCGGCAATTCAAATTTCGATTCAAACAGCGCAAATTATGGTACCGTACTATGGATGACCTGCGAATCAAACCCACTGATCCTCATAAATCACAGTGCTCGTTTTTTCTTTGTTGCGATTTTAATATATATATTGTCGTTTCAATTCCTACCTTGCATTACACAACGCGTAGCAGAGAGGATTGATTGTTGAATTAATGTAGCACAGAAAGTAGCTGAACGTCCACAGAAACTCTGGCACGGTTTTTGGAAAAAACGCTTCCCAGCAAACGATTACTGCAATCCAACATGTTTATTTATTATATTTTTTTTTAATATAAAATTCGCGAGCCAAAGAATATAGTAAGTACGAGCCATTTTTGTGAGCCAAAAATCACGAGCCACTACTAATTGGCCATATTTATTGATTCTCTCTTTTTTTCAAGATGGCTTACAGTTATATGGTGTCCACGTGGCGATGAAAGCGCACAAAATCGCCGACAACGTCTTCGCCGCCTTACTTTCCTGTTTCCTTTCATTCTTTCTTTGCTCTTTCTCGCTTTTTCTTTCTGTCGATGAGAAATTCTTCAAAATTCTCCCGTTTTTCAATGGCGATTCTGGAACAAAAAAATATATATACATATGTATAATAAGAATTTTTTAGAAAAACTAACGTTTGCTCAGCAAACTCTGGCGTCTTTCTTCAAGTTCACTATTGCAATCACTCTTCGATCGATTCCGCTGAGGTTTGTCACTGAAATAAAAATTGGATGTGAGTGTGTCAACTCTGAAAAAAAAAAAACATGGCATACTCTAAAAAAGAATCGCAATTGCTGAGACGCACACTTGGTCGAATATCCCCTTCATTAAGCTCTATTAGAACCTGAAAACGATATTCAAAAAGATGGGACACAATTTGATAGGCAATTACCGTATACGTTTCAGCAGAAGGTCGATCCATTTTCTGGTCGGGACGCGAGCGGAATCGAGCCGAACCATTTCTCATTCTCTCGCCGGCGTCGGTTTTTTCCTCGTCCTCTGGAAGCGGTGTACACGGCGGTGAGATGTTCTTTCGTCGGCTTCCGCTTAACACAAAATGCGATGATGATAATGATGTGTCGTCCATGTTCATCACAGCGGCCTAAATAAAATAATTGCCAGAAAAATTGATTTTGAATGTCGCAATTATTCAAAAAATACCTCTGAGCTATCTTCTGATGACGAATTGAGTTTGCCAGCACAATTGCGAAGCCATGATCTCCTTTTCGAGTTTCTCGATGAGCTACCACTGAAATGACAAAAAGTCCGTTACTGTTGGTCAACGAAACGCGATTACGGTGTATTATTTTCATCTCCAATCTCGTTGTTCGTCTTTTTGCGGAAAGAACCCGTCGACTTTAATATTGAAGTGGAGGAAATGTCCCGTTTAATTGATCGTCTTGAAAACTGAAAATTTCAAATATTTGAATATAGTTATGATTTTATATAAGCTAATAGGAGAGTTTTTAAATGCAAAAAGTAGAAAAATTTGGTTGCGACGAATTCTCATGCCGGCAAAAGAGAATATAAAATTTGAAATATTGAAAAAAAGGTGTGGGATTTGTCTATAAAAATCGATCGATCAATACTCATAACCTTCTTCATTTTTCGGAGAAACTTTGAGTTTCTCTTGGGCGTTCCGTCGCCGTAATCCGAGAAGTTCTATATTGTTTTTTTGTTCTTATTCAAACACACTCGCACACCCTCCATTTTTGGACTCACCTGAGTTGCTTGCAGTTTGCCAAACTCTTTTTGTCGCTTCTGAGTCTCCCAATAAACTCTTGTGTAAAGAATACACATAATGGTAACGGGCAGGTAGAAGGCGGCGACGGCGGTGCCGACGGTGACGTACGGATTGGTCTGGAGGAACTGCACGACGCAAGTTCCCGGCTCCGCGGTGAATTTACCCTCGATGTAAGGCCACGAAATAATCCAAGGTGGCCAGAGAATTAGCGAAATTATGTATGTACAAGCGATCATTGTCAACGCCTTTTTTGTCGTCCTCCTTACAAATGAATCAAACCAATTTTTAAAATGACAATTTCGATCAAACCTTGGCCTATACGACAGCGGTCTCGTTACTGAAAAGTATCTGTCAAATGAAATGAGCAACAGATTGAGCACCGAGGCGTTGCTCATCAGATAGTCGATGCACAGCCAAAATTGGCACATTGTGTATCCGATATCCCATGTCTGCATGGCAGTGTAGTATGTGAACATTGGAATTGATATAACGCCTGCAAGTTGGTGCGAAAATGAAAGTTGCTTGAGATCGTTTTTTTTTCCATTTTCAATGGAAAATGATTTTTGGCTTCAAAAAAACCTTACCAATTGCAATGTCCGCAACCGCCAAACTAAATAAGAAATAATTGCTAATTGTTTGAAGCTGCTTGTCGATTTTGAAACTGACCATCACCTAAACAGAAGTTGAAATCGATTTGAAGTCGAATGCAAGAAATGAATACCATCAAGTTTCCAACTGAAGTCAGAAATGCCGAAATGAATCCGATGGTGATGATGAGAATCATTCGGCCTTCGACACCAAACAATTTTGTGGTCGTGTAATCGTCAAAGTATGTCGATGACGATGTTTCAGTTGGAATTGCGGTGGTCACATTCTCCGCCGATGTTTGCAGCACCTGCAACGTTTTCATGGATGATCACAAAATAATTGGGGTGGATATAAGTAATCAGAAAATCATCCAATTAAATCCTCAATAATTGCGTCGTTGGGGGAATGGAAGTGTCGAATTTTGACGAAAACAAAAAAAAATTTGGTTGCGATTTTTGATTGCGATGATTCACACACGCACAATCGAAACGAGAATATCTAAATTCAACTATAGCTGGTCGAATAAAATGGAAGCGATGCTCATCATCTCTGACTTTTGCCGATTTAATCCCGCGAATAAATAAAACCGTGAGAATAAGTGAGCCTCCGTTTTCGGCGATGAACGCGCAACATTTTCAACATTTTCAATCAAATCATCAAGTGCAAATTCGTGAAAGCACTCTGAATAATGGAACAGCATGCAATCAATCGTATTTCGGAGATTAAAACCAATAAAACTAGTCGTAAACTAGATTATTTATTGGGACAAGTATAATTCAAAATTTGCAATAAAAATTAAGACAATTTGTCAAATTTGGTATGAATTTCCGTAGAAAATACGCACAAAAAATCATTCTTTACAAATTCATATGTTCTTGTAGAATATATGTTTCAAAGCTATTATAAACACTCCAGATTTCGTATAGCGTTGACCAGTTAGCTATATATTATAGTACTTAAGGCATAGCTAATTTTCCATATTCCTTGTTCGAAAAAACGCGTAGATAAAAAAAAAACGAATGAAAAAAATTCCTACCTTCATAACCATTTGAAACAAATGCGTCTGCCGAAAGCGAGGATCATTAGCACTCCCCAACGAAGAGGCTTGCATCCTCCCGTGCTTGATCCTGCAAAACTCATCAAATGATCATGTCAAAAACGAAATAAAGCGAGAAATTCTAGTCAAAAGTGTCTCAATATTTTCTCGCATACAATTCATGTATTGAAAGCCCATAAACGGGTCCATATGCATATATATATATATATATTTATGAGCGCTGAGTGACTGAGTGAATGAGTGCGAAACGCGACGTCTAAAAGGAAAGTGGGCTGAAGCCGACGGTTCGATTGGTCGCAAGAACAAAAAACAAAGATTTTCAAGAAAAAAAAGTTTTCAAGAGGGCGAATTGGAACAAAAGGCGATGAAGAGAAAACGGAAAGATAGGTGCGTATCGAGTTACATTTGGCCAAGGATATCGAGAAGACCACTCTACAAATCACTTTATAATTCAATTTATATATTGTCCATGCAAATTTGAAGGCAAATTTGCGATTCACAAAAAAACTACGATGGTTTAGATCATGGTTTATTTTCTTAGAATTTATATTTTTTAAAATCCATTTAAGGAACGAGGTTTCTCAACTCTTAGTAAAAAACAATATGCATATAATACTGTAGTAGTTGCTGTATTTAACGGCGCTGACACTATTCTAGCAAATGACTAAAAAAGGAACATTCGATGTTATCCATAAAATATAAATCTCAAAAAATAAGAGCCGCGAGGTTGAACGTGAAATCTAGAAGCTTCTATGTTTATTTAAGCAGCATACACATTTTTTTGGTTCATGAAATAAATCTTCGCTTTGAGATTGCCATATTTCATTTTTTATCATCCAATAATCATTAGGAACGCTTTGCAAAATAAAAAAAAAAAATAAGCAATTTTTCATTTTCAATTTCAAATGTGAATGCGTTTTAACTCATTTCGATCGCTCATAAATCTCACCGCGAAATTGGAGAACTTTTTCGTCGTCACGATGATGATGATGATAATGAAGAGGAGGATGAGGAAGAGGAGGAGGAAGAAGAAGGAAACGAACATTATTGCATCAAAAATTATTTGTCATTTCGAGAGCTCCGAATTAAAAACGAACTCCATCGTCCAACTTCTTCGCTTCGTTTTTTTTGTGTTCGGTGAGTATAATGATCACCAGCTCAGGCAAATCAAATAAAATATTTTGAGAATCAAATATTCAGTGATAAACTCTAAAATATTTTGAGAAATTCTAAAGTCTATTGATACTTTCTAAAACTTATTGAGAATCAATAAATTTTAAAAATTTGGAATTTGTAAATTAAATCTTTTGAGAAAGTTAAATCTTTTGAGAAAGTGTAAAGTATCTCAATATATTGTGAGACTTTAAAATTTGAATAGGGCCCTTATGACTTCCACTGACGCAATTTGCGGCGTCTCTTTTTAAGATCTCCTAAATTCCAATAAATAATTTATGTTTTTGATGTTCCTTCCGTTTTTTTAGCTTTTGGTAATAGTTTCTTCACTTCAGTGATGGACGTATTCATGAAATGCAAGTTTTTATAATAAATGTTTAACACTACCTTAAATCTGCATTGTTTTACATGCTGAATTTGAAACAGTTGTGTCTAAACATGTCATTGCATGAACAGGTTCATGAATTTTAAAAACACGCACAATTATTACAATTAATTACAATTATACTTCAGTTTCTAATGATTTCGATATTTTAGAAGATCGGGAAAAGTGTGGAACAAATATTCCAGAAACATTGGCCGATAGATTTAAGGAACGAGGTAAATACAGCAAATTCAATGAGCAGGTGCCCATGTGGATCACGGCCATGGATATTTTCCACCTTTTTCACGAGGGAACACGTATAATAAAAGGTACTTCAATTATGTCTCTCCTTTTTCAGCATTTAAAAATTGAAGATTGTCTTTTAGAAGTCTTCGTTAAAAACGAAATAAATATTTTTCGATGCGAAGCTATTGATGTGAAAGCGAGACTGCCATCTTCGGTAAAGTCGCTATCAGGAAAATTCAATGACATTAATAGGTCCGAAAAAGCTAGTGTAAGTTAATTTACCACTTGCAATTATCATCCTTTGAAGATTTTTGAAGTGAAAATTGTTTCTAACGCCATGATCGGAACCATCCCTCCGTTAGGTTCAGCTGTTGTGTTGCTTATACATGCCTGCTACCGATGGATGGTGTCACCGACTCGCTTAGTTACAAATACAACATTACCAAACAAAGTAATATGGGATCGTTAGCTATGTACATAATAGAAAATTTTTATTTCAGATCGCAGGTATTTGCAAATTATTAGAAATTCTAATTTTAGATGGGGCGCCTCGATTGTTTTCTGGTTCAAAAGTGCACGTAAGTCGTTTTTTTTTGCAATTTTAAGAGTTATTGAACGTTGTAGCATCATGCTATTGTCGTTGATATAAGAAATAATACTAATGATTACTGTATTTATTGTTTCAGCAACTTATATACCATTTGTACAGTAATGTCAGGCGGTGTGGTCAGCTGTCGGCAATAAGCACGCAAGCGCATGAGCACATTTATCACGTTATCAAGAGAAACATGTGCTCGGAACAGACAAACGGGATTGGATATAGTATTTTGAGAATGTTAGACTCATTCAGTTATTTTTTAAAACTGGCAATTTTCAGCTATAAACTATATCACGAGATTGTGACTTCATTGAAAATGCGTTTCAACGCGAATCCGGATTTAATTAAGAAGTCATTTTATCGCAAAGAACTCATGAAATTAATCGAAAAACGACAAATTCAATCATCAAAATTTGTAAGTTCAACATTTTCTTTCAATATATGCAACGAATTCCTTATAGCAACGTTGTGCGTCATTCGCAGAAAAAGGAGAAAATGCGAAAAGAATAAATTGATTCATTTATTTTTTTCTGATTTTTATTATTAATATATTCATTTCGCATTAATATTGTAATAAATGAAATGTTCATACATATTCAATTATTATGGATGTTATTACATTCTATTTGTGTGAAAATTGCTCGATAACGTATGATATTACATAATATTGGACAGAGTTTATTGAGAACAATCTAAAATTTATTGATATATTCTAAAGTTTATTGAGACAAATCTAAAACTTATTGATAAACTTTAAAGTTTATTGAGACAAATCTAAAACTTATTGATACACTTTAAAGTCTCACAATATTCATTGAAACTTATTGATAAATTCTAAAATCTTATGAGATTTCCTAAAGTTTATTGAGACAAATCTAAAATATTATAGAGACACGTTAGCCTCTCAACGAACCTCATAAGATTTTAGAATTGTCTCAAAATATTTTTTTTCATTTGCCTGAGAGCACTCATAAAACTTATTTTATGGCGTACAGAAAAAAGTATGCATTTGAGAGAAGTTGGGCGGGGGAGGCAACCAGGAGAACGACTCGGTTCGCGTTATTATTTTACAGCCAGATTTGACTTTATATTATCGAATATATATTTCGGTTTTTTTTCTTTTATATGATTAAAAGAGCCCTCGAGACAAACAGCTAGAAATCAAATATTTTGGTGTAACTTTTAAACGGAACAATTTTGTCGAAATATTCGTGTGTAATCGGAGATTTGAAAAACAAAATAGCATTAATCTGAAAATCATGCGTTTCGAGCAAAATAGATTCAACTTAGGCACATGCATTTGATCGCTTCTTGGAATTCTTTCGTGTTGAGACACACCAAATAGAGAAGCGCTTTGTTAGGTGAAACCCTCTGGAAAAACAATCCCAACACAATAATAATCCAGCTTGCCGGATTTTAAGATATGATTCTGGAAGTTTTACACAAAAATAGTATTGATGTCGAATTGTTGAGCAACCTCAAAATATTCACAAAATTTGGCTTGTATGGTTAGAAAAAAACAGCAAAAAAATTCTCTCGATTTGCTTCAGAATTTTTTGATTAAGCTGCGATTTAGTGTTTTTTTCAAGATTTTTTTTGAATAAACAATTAAAAAAAAAACGAAAAGCCACTAGTAAGTTCTGTTTGTTTCAAGGATTGGACGACCAAAGTCAGAAATTGAGAACAATGAAGAATGGTGATCCGCGGTGGAAAAATCATTCTCTTGAAATCGAACATTCGGGTCTATTAGAAACCACCCCTACTTTTTAACCCCCACCCCTGCTATTCCACCCCGACTTTTTAACCCCGACTTTTATTTATGATACCACCCCCACTTTTTCACCCCCAATTTTTAGATTTCACCCCTACTTTCTCATTTCACCCCTACTTTTTCACACTCAAAATTTGAAGTTTCTAACAGTAATGTTTAACAGTAAAATTTTACTGTTTTTAATATTTTCAATAATTCAAGTTATCAAGAGGAGATTCGCAGGACTGATGTCTAAATTAGATTTTTCAGAAACTATGTAGCGTTCTTATGAAAGGTTGACGTTTTGACAAAAGACGAAATTTTTCTGAACAGGGTTTTCCGAGAATAGTTAATTTCTTGTTAAAATTGTCAACCTTTCATAAGAACACTACATGTTGTCGGCGTCAAACGACTGAAGGGAGGCGGAGCCTTTAAATTCGCGAAATTAATGTAGATTTAAATTAATCGTTGACTGAATATTCAATGCGCGTACGCTATAATGCAATGGACGCAATTTCGCTGCCTCGAGACGCATTGGCACATAGCCAATTATTTTTTAAATTTCGTCAAGTCGTTTGACTTCGACAATAGTTTCTGAAAAATCTAATTTAGACATCAGTCCTGCGAATCTCCTATTGATAACTTGAATTATTAAAAATATTAAAAAATTTTACTGTTAAACATTACTGTTAGAAACTTCAAATTTTGAAGTGCAGTGAAAAAGTAGGGGTGAAATCTAAAAATTGGGGGTGAAAAAGTGGGGGTGGTATCATAAATAAAAGTCGGGGTTAAAAAGTCGGGGTGGAATAGCAGGGGTGGGGGTTAAAAAGTAGGGGTGGTTTCTAATAGACCAACATTCGGAAAGAATTGAATAGTTAAGAAGCTTTCAGAAAACCACGATCTCCGAGTAACGACAATAAGTA